TTCTTTTCTCTGCGCAACTGCAAATCTTTATCAAAATATGTCAAGGTCAACGGACAGAGCCCTCATCACCACCTGAAGATGCCCACATGACCATATCCAGAACTTTTTTTTTTGAAAACAATTTTATTGATTTTCTACAAACAAACAAGACAAACAAAACATTAAAACATCAACTCTCTTATGTACGTACAGTGTGTCGGTTGGTTCATCAGTTTTGTGCATTCATTTCGTAGTCTCAATTACAGTTATGTTATATAACAACTCATATTGTCAATCCAAACTTATATATCCTAATATCGCTATTAATAAATCATTTGACTATACTTTTAATCATTCATGCTTTATGAGATAACAATACTTTAAACAGTTTATTCTATAACAAATCATATAATCATACCAAATCTATCCTAAAAACACTTTATAGATATGTCAAATAACGTAGGCAAAAGAAAAAAGGTATTCCTTGCTATCTAACTTTCTAAATATTCTATTATCGTATTTTGTCATCTAGCCACTGATAAAAAAGATCCCAAATTTCATAAAATTGTTTATCCTCTTGCTCTCTAATTTCAAATGTCAATCTACTCATCTCAGCACATTCCAATATTTTCTTAATAATTTCTTCCTGTGATGGTATTTTCTCATTCTTCCATATCCAGAACTTTTGATTGGAAGAATCTTTTGAACTTTGGGGGGTGGGAACAATTCCATCCCTTTGTATATGTGATCTGCGCGCCTAATTTCTTAGATTCAGAATTTTACCTGAAGCTACCACTTCAAATTTCAGTAAAAGATTTCTTTCCTCTAATCTATGGAGTATTTCTTTCTTGGATTTTGAATGGAGCACAGACTGACACCTGGTTTGTGTTGTTTTTTCCCTCCTTCTTGTAACTGCTTCTGTGGGAGTTTTTTGTCTTCCGTCAAGGATATTTGGAGCTTGGAAGCAAAGTGAATGAATAAAAGGGGCTTCACCAGGTTTTTGTGACTGTGTTTGTTTTGTATCCCCACCCTAGGTCACCACAGTTAGCAATTCTACTACACAGAATAGGAACTGTAATGTAATGATATTTCGTTGTTTTTTTAATCAACCTATCGCCCTTCTCCAAATCAATTAGAACACATATTGGGGTTACAGAACTATTTATTTATTCTTTCTTTCTTCCAGAATCACTGGTCTGCACAAAGGCTCATTGCTCTTTTACCATCATGCCGACGCACTTGTTCAAGATCACTCAGGAAAATTGCACGGTGATACGGGATACTGAATTTAAATATTCTAGCCCTCCTGGGCATAAGAACCAAATGTCCAAGTATCATAGCAGAATGAAGACCTCATCTGGCTTTCAGGCCAGGCCATTGTCCCTAAAATTCTCTATGGCAAACAATAACCTTTCTTTAAGAATGTGTTTATCTGTGTATCTCGGGAGATGCAAACTTTTAGTGCAAGTGTAAATTTTGGGGAACGCCTGGTCTGGATTTTCTTCATCTGGGTCAACAATAGTTATTATGTAATTGTCCATCCCTTCTCCTGGAATGCGAACAGTTCCTGTGAGAAAAGCTGAAGAGAGAACAGAAATCAAACCATGCATTGTAGTAAGAACATCCCTTAGGGACCTAGTCTTCATTACTTAGTTCTAATATTTTTCCCAATAGCAATGGGAACCGTGTTCACTTTCCCACTTTCTCCATCTGTACCTTTTGACGAATTGATGTAATATACACATTTATCCCTCTGATTATATTCCCTATGATTGCATGTTAAGCTTCTTGTCAAAGTTTCTAAATCAATGATCATTAGACGGGAATAGCTTATTTGGCTTCTTCTTTTTTTCTTAGAATAATGATATTGTTTTGTTTAGTGTTTTTTTTTTTTTTAAAGAAACAGTGATTACCAAGAAAATCCCTCTTGTTTTCCTCAGGAAGTTCATGAAAGACTGTCCAAAAATTCTTGATTGTTTCGTCTGATTTTTCAAAACCACGATATCTGACAATCTGTAAAGAGAATAATCATGAACCCCCCTGTTAATAGTTCTGGATAGCATCTAAGGCCACTCTGCATTTAAAGGGCTAAGGATTCCTTTTTTTAGTTTTTTTCAAGGGCTGCCAGAAACGTACTTTCAAACAACTGTTGCCCTTCTCCCTCCATGTCTTTAAAACTGTAGAGATTGAAATCTACTGTAACTGCAAGCATTTCTGAACCTGGGAACTGACAGACATTGGACTGGGATGCAACTCCCAATTTTGGCCTTAGGGACATTTGTTGATTAATATTCATGGCTCAAATGATACATTCTGCCTTTGTTTTCAGTGTTATTAGACATAAGAAATTCAGCACGGTTATATATTTTGCAGTGCTTTTGGTATGGATCAGCTCACGGTATCTATACATGTACTCCTTGACTTACTACCACAATTGAGGCCAGAATTTATGTTGCTAAGTGAGAAATTTGTTAAGTGAGTTTTGCCCCATATTACGACATTAGCTCAGTGAATCAGTGCTGTTGTTAAAATAGTAACACCGCTGTTAAGTGAATCTGGATTTCCCATTGACTTTGCTTGTCAGAAAGGCGATCACATGACCTCGGGATGCTGGAACCGTCATAAATAGGAACCAGTTGCCAAGCATCCGAATGTAAGTCACATGACTGTGGGAATGGGGCAGTGGTCATAAGTGTGAACAAGGTGTCAGCCCTGAAGCCATCTTGGAGCATCTTCAGGGCTGCCACCGCCAGACCAGCTGAAGCTGTGGGAATGGGAAGAGGGAGACCGAGATAGCTGGGGTGGGGGAGCCATAATAAAATTCTTTCCCCTGGGAACCAAGGTTGTTCTCACAGGTGCTGGGAAGGCCTGGACCGAATCCCACTGAATTGGCACCGGGACCTGATTGGATCATGTGATGGACGTATGACCTGGGGGCAAGGACTTTGGGTTTTAGTTTGGGTGGGGAAAACCTCGGGTTGGGTTTTCACCAGCCGTGCCAATATGGCATTCCTAATAAATTCTTACTTTCAGGAAACTCCAGGCCTCAGAGTTTTGATTGCGTCGGGTCTGTTCCTGTTGGAAGTTAAAGCCCACCCCTCTCCCAGAGAAGTTAAATATTTTGGGATGCACTAAAAAGGCAGAATATTTCCCTTAAAAGAGAAGTAGAAACTCAGAGGAGCAGATACTCAGCCCCCCCTCCCCCCCTTCGTTAATGGGCCATTAAGGCCTGGGCCGGTCTATTCGACATAACAAAGATCTACCTCCTTCAGGCAAAGCCATTCAATTGCCCTGCATTGCACCACCCACCACGTTTCAGCCAAACTTAGCACACAGACAAACTACAAAGCTAGCTTCTGACTTCTGACGGCAACCAATCAGGATACTCTTCCTGGGCCCCAGAAAGTTCCAAGCCAGAGAGCAGCGGTGGGGTCCTACCTGTTCCACTACTGGTTTGGTTATCATGCGCGCGTACCTAACACACATGCCCCTAAGGTGCGCGCACAACTTTCCCCACACCAGCTGAGGCCTGCAGCACCAATCAGTTGAGAAAATAAAGAAGAGAAAAGCGCAAGGGCGGGTGGGAGGGCCGGTCCTGCACTTTTCTCTTCCTTCCTCCTCTCAGCTGATGCTTTTTTTTCCTCCTCTCAGCTGATCGTCGGAGGCTTTTTTTTTTTACTACCGGTTCGGCCGAACTGCTGCGAACTGGTAGCATTGCCAGAGAGGGTATAAAACCCAGGGACTCTCAGCATCCCTTCTCTTTTTTCTTCATGTGGTCCTGTCCACCATGAAACCATCTTTCCAAATAGCCTCCGTGTTTCCAGTGTCCTTTTCCCCCCACTTGGAACTGAACCCAGAAGGATATTTCTTCCAACATTACTTGGAACCCTCACACAATGGCCGTAGGTCAGTGCCGTTGGAATTATGAACGGTCATTAAATGAACTGCTGTAAGTTGAGGGCTACCTGTGGTCCAAGCAGATTCTCTACTTCATTTAAGACACCTCCAGACTGTGGTCTGGTTCTGGTGCTGGAAGCTACATTTGCTCAACGTGAAACCATTCTTCCCTCCTCCTCAGCCAGTGCTGGTCCACTGAGCTGCAAAAGTTGGGAACTGCTGAATGTGTGAGGCATACCAGAGGACCAGTTAAACTGTTGCACACATTGAGAAATATAAATGTGGATCTTAAGGATGCTGCATGCAGCCTAAGGGACTGCAACTGTTTCAACCTCCATCCTTAATCTGTGCAATCCTTAGAAGAAATCCCTATTGTTTTCCAATGGGACTTTTGAACGCAAATGGATGTTTCATTGCTTTGTTGATATACCGTATTTTTCCATGTATGAGACGATACTGTTTCTTAAAAATATTTACCTAAAACTGGAGGGGTGTCTTCAGTGGTGGGATTCAAATAATTTAACAACCGGTTCTCTGCCCTAATGAATTCTTCCAACAAGCAGTTCACCAAACTGCTCAGAAAGTTAACAACCGGTTCTCCCGAAGTGGTGCGAACTGGCTGAATCCCAACACTGGGTGTCTTATACACGAGGGGCCCAAGAAGAGAACTGCGGTTGCGAAACTGCTGATACCTTATCTCTGCAAACTAGCCTCAAGAGCGAAACTTCTGATTGCACAAACAAGCTAACAGGTTTCCTCCAATCATGAGCCTTCTGTGACTGACATCAGCGGACGTTGCGGAGAGCGTGTAGCCAGCGGCCAGATGCAACAGGGAGCGGTAATGTCAGAGCTTTCTGAGCCCATAAAAATGTCAGAAAACAAGGGGGGGGGAAAAACCAGTACCGGTAAGCGAATGTCTTCCTCTGCACAAAAAATGTCTTCTATTTAATGTTTAAAAGATTGATTTCTGAATTTTAGTAAGTTGGGGGAGGGGGAGAAGTCCTATACATGGGGGCATCTTATAGATGGAAAAATACGGGATTTATTTTGACAATGCACCTCTTTGAATAGTTAGTTGCTCGCGCTCACATTTTCTATCCCAATACATGTTTAAGGATCGATCAAGTTCCCGCAAATTCAAAGAAAAATAATAAGAGTTCCACAATGGAACTGGAATAAAGATCAGTAATAAAAGGACTGAAGCGGAGGAGAACATGTTCTACCTTTTCTAACTGGTCCCAGTCGTATGTGGTATGTCCAAACAGGATACTGCGGAGCTCAACAGGAAGAAACATTTTCCACGTTGTACTTGGGCAACCTCTTTGAAATCCACGTGTGAAGTCCTCAAACTGCTTCTTCACGGAATCATTAAACATGTAATTCACATAAGCATCAACGTATTCCTTTCTGTAAATATGGGGATTTGGTTATTTGGTAGAGTTGATAAAAGCAAAACTCGGCTCATAAAACAGGGGTTATGGGCTTGTTGAGGGAGAGAGAACAGTGCAGGCTGCTCCAACTCCCAGCATCCTTAAGCTGTGTCACTCTGTCCTAGAAGCGGGCACAATTCTGGATCAGCCAAAATTCATTCCAGCTGCTCAAAAAATGGTCCTTGTTTCTGGGAGAGAGCCATGCAGCCTCTGGATGCTAAGTTGTGGAGCAACCTGCTGTCCTCCAACGTGATCTCTGGAGCTTCCAGGAGATCTATAGAAAGTGACATCATGGCAGGGTAGGGAGGAGAATGTGGATCCTGATGGGGTGGGAAGCAAGCCCAAAATCTGCAGGGAGGGATAGAAAGTGAAGCATGTGGTGCCTCAGGATAGGGGAAGCCTTGGGAGGCCCAGGGCAGGTGGATCTGCACTAGGCCTCCCCTACCCTTGAGGCACTTCATGCTCTACTTAACAACCGCATTTGGGAGAGCAAGCATGGAGACTGCTAAGCAAGGTGTACCATCACTTGTGACTCTAAGGCAGGGGTGGGCAAACTTTTTGGCTCGGGGGCCTCATTGACTTTTAAAATTTGACAGACGGGCCGGGTCAGCACAAGATACGATACATATAAAAAACTGCAAAATCTCCTCAAAATCAAGTCACTGCGCCTAATGCGCTACCTGGTGTCGAAATGCCTGTCATTACAAGTCAAAATCAAATGAATGCAATCATTCAATCATTCACATCAAACCTTAATTCTGTACCAATCTTCGGCGGGCCGGATTAAAAAGACCAACGGGCCGGATGTGGCCCGCGGCCCGTAGTTTGCCCACCCCTGCTCTAAGGGGAAAGCTCCATTACAGCCAAAAGTTGAAGACTACCAATACATCAGTAGTAGTCTAAAAGACTGATTTGGGAATTAAAAATCCTCAGGTTCGATTTTCTTTTGATATTGAATTTACAGGTTTAGAAACCTACTACTTCGACCTATAAAATTGTTAACACCACTGAATACCTTACAGCAGGGGTGTCAAACTCAAGGCCCGCAGGGTCAGCCTGGAAATATTAAAGGACCGGCCTGCGGTGCTTCTGTTGGCCAAAATGGGATGCGTGAGGCCTGTACGTGGCCTGTTTTTGGTCTCCTGCAGCACTCTGCCAGCCAAAAAGCAATCCAGAGACGTATGCACGGCCCATTTTTGGCTGACAAAGTGCTGCTGGAGGCCGGGGAGGGTGAAAATGGGCCACGAGGGGACCTCCCACTCTGACAGCCCATTTTGGCCAGCAGAGTGCTGCTGGAGGTGATGGAGGGGAAAAACGAGGCACGGAAAGTAACATATAGTAGAAAAAGGAGATCAATTTCTGTTACCCAACTATTCTTACTCCCTCTGCATCAGGATGCTGTTGCAAATTCTGGATTAGAAACTGTCAAGTCCCGTCCCCCCCCCCCCCCCCCCGCCATATATACTTCTATCCAAAGGTAATTGTAATTAAAAGTCAACAAACAAACCCATTCCTGGGAAAACTTGCCTGTTGTTTAAAGTAACAGGTATGTTGACACCATTTTCTTTCAAGTCAACCTCAATTATGGATCCTTTATACTTTTCTGTTATCTGCATAGGAACCAAAGTATAAAAGATTAGTATGGATGATTCTGCTTCATTTTCAGAATGTTAGGCATTATGTGCCAATGGATGACATATAGAAATGAACATTTCTCCTCATATTAGTAGGGCTGGTATTTCATATCATTGTCAGACACTTTGGAAAAGGCAGGTGATAACAAAAGAAAGGATCTCATGTTGTATTTGGATGCCAGTTCTGGAACTTCCAAGCTAAAATGGATTCACTCGAATGATCATCATTCTTAAGGCAGCAAGCTAGCTTCTAACTGCAATTGATTACCATGGCTGTGTGGTTTTGGAAACAATGGTATATGCATATTATCAAACATGGGCCATGAATGATGTACTTGTATCAGACATTGTGAGACCAGTATATAAATGCAAGTATATCATATTTTGACAGTCATAATTTATTACAAATTCCACCATGGGTATCATCAGAAATGGTAGAAATGGTGGTAGATTTTAGGAGAAATCCTCCTATACTACCACCTCTTACAATACTAGACAACATAGTATCAACAGTAGAGGCCTTCAAGTTTCTAGGTTCTATCATATCTCAAGACTTAAAATGGTGTCCATCAAAAACATCATCAAAAAAACACAACAAAGAATGTTCTTTCTGCGCCAACTAAGAAAGCTCTATTTGCCCAAGGAGCTGCTGATCCACTTCTACAGAGGAATTATTGAGTCTGTCATCTGCACCTCTGTAACTGTCTGGTTTGGCTCTGCAACCAAACAAGACAGACACAGACTTCAAGGGATAATTGGAACTGCAGAAAAAACAATTGCTACCCACCTGCCTTCCATCGAGGACCTGTATACTGCACGAGTCAAAAAGGGGGCTGTGAAAATATCTACAGACCCCTCACATCCTGGACATAGTTTCAATTTCTACCCTCAAAATGACCCCCCATGCCATCACTCTGCTAAACAACTAATTCCCACAACACTGTCAAACTATTTATTAAGACTGTATTACTATTATTCTTCTCATCCTTCCTATTACCTATCTCCTACTTATGACTATAACCTTGTTCCTTGTATCTTTACGATTTATATTATTTTGTTTCCTGGTATGATTTGATTGCTTATTTAGTATCCTATGACTATCACTAAGTGTTATATCTTATGAGTCTTGATGAATGTATTTATGTACACTGAGAGCTTATGCATGAGCTTATGAAGACAAATTCTTTGTCAATCACACTTTTCCAAAAAATAAAGAATTCTATTCTATTGCATTAAACCGTGGTTTGGTCAAATAACAATTGGCTGAACTCAAACAACACTTGAACCTGAAGTCAGAGAAATTACATTATAGTGTAGCAGTTTTCCCCAACCTGACATTCTCAAGGTAACTAGAAACTGCACAGCATACAGTGAGAGTGGAGGTTCGTTTGCTGAGCTTATGGGTTGATTTCTGAATGTTTTGTTACCAGGCTAGGTAACATATTCAGTGGATTTTACGGAATGTCAGCATTGGTGTTCTTTTGCTTATGAGGGCTTTGTGTGGTCAGTAGGTCTTTTGATGAGAACGTCACATCAAGTAAGGGTCCAGTGATGGGCAGGGGTGGGATTCCAACGATATAACAACTGGTTCGGTGATCGTGCGCTTTGTGTGTGCATACACACTCTGCATACGTGCTCCGCATTTAAAAAAAGCTCTAATACTTACCTTGTGAATAAAACAGCTGTGGCACAGTAAACCACTCTGCCGCGCAAATCAGCCGTGCTCTAACAAAAGGAAGTAAAGCACAGGAAAGAGCAGGGGCAGGTGGGTGGGCCCACATGCTCGTCGCAGCCAACCGGTTCTCTGCCAGCTGATCTTTGGAGCAAGGGGTTCGCCCGAACCAGTCTGAACCGGTAGAATCCCATCCCTGGTGATGGGTCTTCTGAGGGGTCAGGTGTGGGTCATGTCAGGTGAAGGTCTTGTCATATCAGGTGAGGGTCATTGGGAGGCCCTTATAAGCAGAAGAACACCAACACTGACATTCCCAAAATTCCACTGAAGATGTTACTTAGCCTGGTAAGGAAACATTAGGAAACCAACCTCCACTCTCATCCTACACCCGAGCTACAGATATTCACCACTATTGCAGAGCATTCAGTGTTATCTAACAGTATCTTTTCCTCTGAGGCTTCCAAGAGTGGCTGTGTAGAGAAAGGCTGATCTAACCGACCCAGGATGTCCTACCGTAAAACTCAGCTCCATGCTTTTGAAAATGTCATCACAGGGTTGATCCAGTATATACTGAAGATTACTAAAGGAGAAAAGAACAAAGTGAAACAAACTGCTTCTCCCAATACTAAAATAATTTGCTTATTTATGATTATGTCAGTTTCAACAGAAAGTGATTCTCCATAATATTCTCAAGTCTTCGCCTAGTTTTGTCTCCGTTCAGTTAAACTAAGACTGACATCCAGTTCCTAAATAGAGAAAATAAAGGAGATTTCATGTCAAGAGCAACTCCTGGGGTTATATTCCTGCAATTTTCTTGGCAGCATTGAAGAACTCGTTAGGCATTGCTTTCTTCACTCTTCTTTTAAATGTCCCAGTCTAGCCAACACCTGGATTCTCAGATGTCTTTCATTTAAGTATCAACCAGGACAGACTTTGGTTTAGCTTCCAGTATCAGCTTCTGTATATCCAAGCAATGTTGAGAGATCACAGAAAAAGAAAAGAGTACTTAATCTGCAATATCAATTATTTCCATATGAAAAATAATGTCATGCCATACCGTCCAACTGTGGGAGAGACTTCTTTTAAATCTTCCAGCGTTGGCTCCATATTTGCCAATTTCTTGAACAATGCAAGAGGGAAGGGTAAAGCAATTATCTTCTGATTTTGGAGCGCTATTCCGAACAGGTTCCCAATTAAAAAATATATGTCTTCCTGTGTTGATATCTAATTTGAAAAATCAATATACAAGTATTGAAAAATACACTGTAAAGCAAGGGTCTTCAAACTTGTGGACTTGTGGACTTGAACTTGTGGACTTCAACTCCCAGAATTCCTGAGCTAACATGACTGGAGGAGGAATTCTGGGAGTTGAAGTCCACAAGTCTTAAAGTTGTCAAGTTTGAAGACCCCCCTACTTAGAAAATATTGTATTTCTGAAACTTCTTCCTATTTCAAACTCATTTCCCATGACTTGGCTTTAGCTGCAAAAGCCAAGCGATGCATACACCCCCTTTCTACAACTTCATCAGCACCATCTTGGTTTGCCAATTTTCTCTCTGGCTGTTCTTTGTTTTCTCCAGCAATGTGGATCCTTACAGGCATCCGGACTCCTCAAATAAGTGCAAGATAAAAATGGGTCTCGGCTGAATGGGTAATTCTATCTCATGAAGTATTCTAATTATGGCTCTCTCTATCTCAGCCCTGCTAACTTTAACCAACAGTGAAGGATTGTGAGCCCTTTCATCTATGATTAGGGGTGTCAAACTCAAGGCCCGTGGGGTGCTGATATCTGGCCCACGGGGCTGTCTTGGAAACAGCAAAGGACCAGCCTGCGGTATCTCTGCCAGCAAAAATGGAGCTCGGGGGGCAGGGGGGGTGGCACATGGCCCTCCCAGGCTCTCTTTTCAGTGGAAGAGGGCTGCAGGAGGCTGTCGCAGCCAAAAACAGAGCTTAGGAGGACCGTATGCGGGCTGCAGGACATTGAGCTGGCTGCGCCCACACTGGCCACACCCACTTCCCTCCAAGGTCAAAGAGAACCCTGATGCGGCTGTCAATGAAATTAAGTTTGACACTGCTGGTCTATATTTCAACAGGGGTTGAATCTGAGATCTGTTGCATGCTGAGCAAGTCATCTGCCATTAAGCTATAGTTCTTCCTGTACGGGTAGTCCTCCACTTATGACCACAATTGAGCCTAAAATTTTCTGTTGCTAAGTGAAATATTTGTTCAGTGAATTTTGCCCCATTTTGCCACCTTGCTTGGCAAAACTTGGTCACATGACCCCTGGACACTGCAACCGTCATAAATATGAGTCAGTTGCCAAGTGTTTGAATTTTGTTCAAGTGACCATGGGGATGCCGCAATGGTCATAAGTATGAAAAATGGTCATGCCACTTTTTTCAACGGTTGCTAAACAAAGTAGGGAAGAATGGAAAGCACGTGACTCTTGATTCTAAAAAGGAAAGCACAAGTAGTAAAGGAAACCAATATCTTAATAGTTCATGTCCATTCTACCATATTGTTTCTTTATATTTTTAATAGGAATTATCTTTTCACACCAGAATAAAGATACAGCTTGATACAATATCCATGTTACAACCAGAAACAGTTAAGTTTCATCAGATGGTGATCAAATCTTGTATTTATTAATGCTAATCATTTCCCCATTAATAGAGGAGAAATATATTAACACCTGCTATCCACAAAACCTAGATCAGGGGTGTCAAACTCAAAGTGCATGGGCCGGATCTAGCCTGCGGGGTGCTTAGATCTGGCCCATGGGGCCAGCCTGGAAACAACAAAGGACTGGTCTGCGATGCCTCCGCTAGTGAAAATGGAGCTCCAGTGGCCACACATAGCCCCCCTGGGCTCCATTTTCACCGGCAGACAACTGCAGGAGGGTGTCCAGGCCGAAAACAGGGCATGGATGGGCAGCGCACGGCTCCTCTGGGCTCCTTTTTCGCTGGCAGAGGGTTATTAAAACAAACTAAAAACAAAAGAAAAGGAGAAATGTTTCCCCTTTTGCCTTTGACTGTGCAAGAAGGGACAGGAAATGAGAAAGGGAAATAGGAAAGACAGAAAAAGAAGGAAAGACGAAGAGAAGAGAGCAAGGAAGTAAAAAGAAGGAAAGAGGGGAAGGAAGAAGAAAGGAGAATGGAGAGGGAAGGAAAAAGAAGAAAAAGGAGGGAGGGAGGAAGATTATAATGAGAATGAAGGTTTCATTATAACCCTGCCTTAGCACTTGGCCACCACAGGTGCCCCTGACACGAGTCCCATGTCACACCTGTCATGGCCACCCCCCCCCCCCAGCCATGTTCCATGACCCCGGCCTCTGAGGTCAAACACAACCCTGATGCAACCCTCAATGAAATCAAATTTGACACCCCTGAGCTAGATGGACAACAAATTTCTAGGACTACAAATAATATCTCTGAACAGACAATGCCAAAAAGAGGTCAGCTATCACCTCCCATCCCTTTTAGGGGACAACCATGCTTATTTTCTCACCTCTATTGAAAAGTCAATGGTCAAAGAGATGAATTACCTCCAAGGTCATTTCTATTTTTATACTTAACAGCAGAAAGCATAAATAAATGCAGTACATGTTTATACATACCTCACGAAGGAACCAAATATAACCCGAATCGTCAAAGCGCCTAAATACTTGTTCTTCTAGATTACACAGTTGTCTGCTGATGATTGTGAAGAACTCCTGGATCAGGCCCCCATACTTGACTCCAGGTTCTCCTTGAAAATACACCTGAAGAATTAAATAAAATTAGCCAGATATTTACATTAATTTAGACTGATAAACTAAATATAAAAATATTTCTGGTTGCTCAGAAATCAGAACATCTTTCCTAGTTTTTCCCCCCTCTGAATTAAAGCTATAACCTTAAGTTATTCAGAAGATCCCTGAAACAGCTAAACCTGTTTCAGATGTGCTAGCCTTTCAAGACCAAAGCCTCTCAAGTTATCCTTAAAGTAGGGGAGGAAATTGCCCAAATTAAATTGTCACAAACACACATCAGAAATCAGTGAAATTCTCAGGAAGAACAAACAGAATCAGGATTTACTCAATTTATACCTCGCCTTACAAAAAAAAACCCCACATAACAAAAAGGAGATCCCTGTAAAATCTTATTCGTTTACTTAGAACAATGTTTTCTAACCTAGGCAATTTGAAGATGTCTGGCCTTCAACATCCAGAATTCCCTAGCTCTCATGTTGCCCTAGGAATTCTGGGAGTTGAGGTTTCCTGACTGGATCTTTTTCCTGTTGCCACACAGGCTCAATTCAGCATACTGTGAATATTTTTCTTAACATGGACGCTTTAAAAAACAAGAGTATAAAACCTTGACACACTTTTAAGATTTGTGAACTTCAATACCCAGAATTCCCCAGCCACCATGCTGCCCAAGGAATTCTGGGAGTTGAAGGCTGCAGTGCACACATCTTCCAAGTTGGAAAAAATTTGACTTAGAAGGCGCTTCAATAAAAGTTTTGGCTGTCCACCTAAACTAAGCTGCTAGTTTCCCAGCCATCTTGTTCCTCTTCTCCCGAACCACCCAAGTCCATCTTCCTCAGTATTCAGGTTCAAGTATGCCCACCTACTGCTTTAGGGAGGCAGTTTTCAAGGACTATACAGGGGACTTAGAGATATAATCTGGGGATTGATTAAATCTTATTAAGAATTGGTTTTATTGGTGTTTATAGAAAATTTGAGATATTGAAAATGTGGTGGAACACTGAGTGATATTTATAATATTAAAACATTAGTGACTTAACGGGTTAATAAGTATATTGCATGAAAAAATGTTATTGAGGTTTACCTATATTTTTGGAGAAAGTGATAAAAATAATAAAGAGAGAATGTTTAAGTATTGTTAATTATGAGCATATCAAGGTGAGAAGTTGGAAGATAAAAACTCTGTATATGTAATGGTATCTACAGTATACAAAGAGGCAAACCGGTAGTCCAAAGTCCTCCCGGAACCAAAGGCAGAGTGCTTAAAAAGTATACCGGAGTTCTATTTTCAAGCGCTCTGCTGCACCGGAAGGAGTTCCTGCAAAGGCGGCTCCCATTTCCTGCCTGGTTCGACCTTTCGCGCTCCGCGGCGAATCATGCTCGCTCTGCCTGCCCTACGGCTTCTGACTCGCCACCCGCGCCAGGGACTCCTGCGGGGCAGGCGGGCGGTTTGCGCGGCGGCGGAGAACGGGGGGGAAACCACCGGCCCAGGACCGCAAGCGCCGCCCTTCGACGCCGGGCTGCTGGAGATCCTCGTGTGTCCCCTGTCGAAAAAGCCGCTCAGGTCGGGCTAGCAGCTTTTGCCCTTGTTTTGCTCTCCGCCCGTTCGCGTTTGTCCCGGTTGTCGGCTACGCCCGCTCCCCATGGCCTGCACGCCTTCTCTATTGGCAATGGGTTATGTAGTCCAACGGGCAGGGTGGCTTCCCGCCAGGATAGGAAACTCATCCTATCCGCCTTTCCTTTATTCCATTTTCCAGTAGTTTGGAATTGAATTGCTTTATGAAGCATATGTATTTATATGCTTAATAACATATGATAAATGGCTTCATAGAAACTCAATATATATAATCTATGAAGGAAATAAGATGTTTCTGACTGAGAAATGCTTACTCCTCCCCCCTCCCCCAAAGTTTTTAAATCTATCCATCCACTCACCTACTTATCTACCTCCCTCCCTCTATATCACTTATCAAAATAACTTACCATTAATTTAATTCAGTTCAACAATTCCTATTTCCAATGGTGGATACAGAAGAGTCATGGTATTTTTACAAATGCCTCCTTGGAAATCCTTATCAAGATAACTTTACATAGATTTTCTCTCTCTCTCTCTCTCTCTCTCTCTCTCTCTCTCTCTCTCTCTCTCTCTCTTTCTTTCTTTCAGTGGGTTCTCCCCTTCCTAATCACCAATAAAAGAATAGCATTCTAGATGTTGGGCTGCTCTACAGCTTCGCACTGAATGACTTTGTCCATCCATTAATTGACCCACAACTAGGGAATTTATGCCAGTGAATTTTAAGTCCTGCCCATTCAGGATTCCTGTTGCAGTGTATGCATTGTTTCTCTTCTCCCAAGTGTTGAGTGTCCCCCTCCCCTCACCCTGTGCTAGCTTACTATTTATCTATATAGTATATTTCTGAAATCAAGAACAATAACAAATCTCATGTCATTATTTGCTGTATTTTCTAGATATAACGAATCCACAAATGAGTTAATTAATGAAGAACTAGGTATAGCATACCCCATCATAGATGGCATTCCTAATATGATACCTCAGGCAGCAAGAATGGTTGGCAAGGAGAAGCAGGAAACAGAATCTGAGCAAACCTAGAAGATTATCCTCTTGGAAGGAAGTTGGAAGACAAGTGGAGTAAGATGTTTCCCTCATTTCCTACCATGACTGTACTTGTCCCACTGTTGTCTTTAGTTGGCCTCTTCTATTCAGCCAGTGTAGATGAAAACTTCCCCCAGGGCTGCACAAGTACAACAAGCATATGTTTCTACAGCCTGCTGCTTCCAGTTACAATACCAGTTTATGTATTTTTCCACCTTTGGACCTGGATGGGCCTTAAACTTTTTCGCCACAACTAGATTGTGCTTAACTCTTTAAGAAGCCTCTTAAAATAAAGAATGGTGTGAAGTTTTTTGAAAACCGGTTTCTTAATATTCTGACCCTTATAGTACACCTGAAATGAAACGGAGGCTAACTGTCTTCAAATGCAAGTACATCCAAGCAAATTGAAAAGTCCCTTGCTCATTAGGGCATGCCTACATACCGAAGTAGCATCAAAGCACACAGGAATATCAAACAAGAAATCAAATATGAAAATCAAGAAAGCAATATGAAGGGATACAAGGCAAATCTTCTTTCAATGAAGGATCTTAGGCATGCAACAAGGCAGTCTGGATGTGTCTGCTTGTGTAGGAAATGTCATTTTTCTAGTCTTTGGTGGAAAAAAAATTCTGCAGAATTATTCCAAAAGACAGTTTCATTACCTGATGATTACAGGCAATTATTTATATAGACTGAGTGCAAAATAGTGTTTTGTCAAATCCATAGATGAAAAGCTCTGAATGAATTAGTATTTGAATGTTAGTACATTCAAATACATTTCAGCTCGGAATGTGTAAGATGGTCACAGGTAAACTATATGTAATAGTGTTCTTGGCTTACTGACAATGTAATGTTAGACTTGATTTCTCTTTGATGAAGCTACACTATTGTTCTGCACAGACCCAGGATTTTGAACTCAGATCCACAAATACAATTGTGTTGTGTCATGAAAGTTGACACTAAATGAAAAATAAAAAAAATTGAATAGGAAATGGTTTCTAATAAAGCATCTGCAGCGCCTATGTATTTTGTATACTTACTGTTGTATTTTTATATATGCTGTGGAACCTTTTTTAAAAGTACACACTATTTTTATTCAGGTTTTATAAGGAAAGCATCGAAATGATGTAACACTGCAGTTGGTTGCATGCCAAAATGAGCCTCTAGATTATGGATGTCAAACTTGATCGTGTCATGTGACATATTGTGATGGTTTTTTTGCCTTTGCGGAGCCGGGGTGAGCATGGCCCGCGTGTGATACATCCAGCCCATGAGCCACCAGTTTGACAGGCCTGCTCTAGATTGTTTCTTCTCAGTTGAGAGGAATATGCCTATCACTGTCTTATATGTGTCACATAACCATAGCTTGATTATAGATATACAAAATTGAATGCTTACTTGAAAATATTGCTGAAAGCAAATTTCTTCTGCATTTCTTAGGTAGTGCCAGGTATCCTGTAGTAAATACTGCTTCCTTACATTCATTGTCGAGGTTACAATGTATTCCTAGGATACAAACAACTGGGTTACGAGTCATTTTAGCAAATTTTGTTAACGTTGCATTATGTTCGTAGGTATACATACCTGTTTGTATTCCCAGTGCAACATTGTGCATTTTGTTTTATGCACCACAATTTTATTTTCAAGATTCAAGATCCAAGGAAATTGGATGAACAGCTGAAATAACAAAGATGATTTATGATTTAAGACATGTATATTTTAAAGTTGACTTATTATAAAACCAAAACCCAACAAATCATATTGCTCAAGAATAAAACCCACAATAAAGGCAACCATTTTAATAGAAGAGAAAATCTGTAGCTCATAGCTGAACTACGGGATTTTTGGTGCGCTCTGATCTTAGTTCTTTGCTTGCAGACATTCCATTACCTAACTAAGATAACATTATCAGTTCAAGTGTTAAGGTTTATTGCTTGCTTACATAAGCTTGTTCTGCCAGTTTGGATGGGGGTCTGATTATCTCCTTGGTGGTTCCTTTATTATAGTGTCTTCTGCCTGATTGGTGGTAATCCTGCTTAAAACTATGCACTTTAGAACCCACAATTATCTAGCACAATAGGCACAGACCATGATATTCTAAAATTTCATGTTTGATCCACAGTATTGATGTAAATGGCCCGGAAAGAATGGCTCCATATTTCTTTTAAGATTCCCCCAGAAAAACACTTCCCTCTCTCTGATAGAAATAAAAAAGGGATATTTGACCAGAAATAAACTTAATGAAATAATATCTATACAACTTACACGTATATCAGAATATGTCGACTCGCCTAACAAGAACTGTTCACAAAAACAAAAAAGCAAAAATAATTAGTAAGCTACATTGCAATGATGCTTAAAGAACTATCCCTTTGCTGGCATAAGTACCCACGCTCCCTGGGAGCTATTCTATGCAAAAAAAATTGCTATCAGTTTCCACTATAGTCAGATAAATAGACACATTTTCTTTTTATTTAGAGTGGCATTTTAAAATAGTTCACTGATATATGCTGAATATTTTGAAGTGTAAATTGCACTTCAGTCTTGCAGTTTTATATCTCCAAATTCAGATCTGATGAGGAAGATGAAGTGGAGAGAAGAGAATTTGAATTTCTTCCTCATGCATACTGTACCAGTGGTGTCAAAGTCAATTAGAAATGTAGGCCACTAACCAATACCTAATACCTTCTTTTTTTAAATTAATACTGTACAATCCAATAATCAGGAAGTAGGCGTAACTAGTATGTTACTATGATTTTGACTTGATTTTCAGTGTTTACAGGAAATCCTCGATCTCGTGGTCTAGTGACCATTCAAAGTTACAATGGCACTGAAAAGAGTGATAACCGTTTTTCACACTTAACGATATTTGCAGCATCCCCATGGTTGTGTCATTTGGATGCTTGACAATTGGTTCATATTTATAATGGTTGCAGTATTCCGGAGTCAAGCAAAGTCAATGGGGAAACCAGGTTCACTTAACAACGTGCTACTAATTTAACATCTGCAGTGATTCACTTAACAAACATGACCAGAAAAGTCATAAAATGGGGCAAAACTCAACATAAACTTTAGGCTCGATTGTGGTCATAAGTCGAGGACTACCTGTGTTCATATATAGGTAGTCCTTGACGTACAGCCATTCATTTAGTGACCATTCAAAGTCACATTGAAACTTTGACCATTTTTCACACTTCAGTCCGTTGCATCCTCACAGCTTATTTAAGCTGTTCCTTTAGAAAGGAAATATATAACATGTCATGTCAATGAAATATTGTAGAAGAGTGTTGTGTGATTTTATTTGAAAAACTGTTCCTAGTCTATTGGCTAATTTCAAAAGCTTAACCCAAAGCTATTATCCAGTTTAATACTATTCTACCACTTTCAGATATCTTTTATATTGGAAGCAATATATCAGGTGAAACTCGAAAATTTAGAATATCGTGCAAAAGTTCATTTATTTCAGTAATGCAACTTAAAAGGTGAAACTAATATATGAGATAGACTCATTACATGCAAAGCAAGATAGTTCAAGCTGTGATGTATCATGATTGTGATGATTATGGCTTACAGCTCATGAAAACCCCAAATCCACAATCTCAGAAAATTAGAATATTACATGCAATCAATAAAACAAGGATTGTACATATCAGACCTCTGAAAAGTATAAGCATGCATATGTACTCAGTACTTGGTTTGGGCCCCTTTTGCAGCAATTACTGCCTCAATGCAGCGTGGCATGGAAGCTATCAGCCTGTGGCACTGCTGAGGTGTTATGAAAGACCAGGATGCTTCAATAGCAGCCTTCAGCTCTTCTGCATTGTTCGGTCTCATGTCTCTCATCTTTCTCTTGGCAATGCCCCATAGATTCTCTATGGGGTTCAGGCCAGGCAAGTTTGCTGGCCAATCAAGCACAGTAATCCCATGGTCATTGAACCAGGTTTTGGTGCTTTTGGCAGTGCGCAGGTGCCAAGTCCTGCTGGAAAATGAAGTCAGAATCCCCATAAAGCTCGTCTGCGGAAGGAAGCATGAAGTGCTCCAAACTCTCCTGGTAGACGGCTGCGTAGACCCTGGACTTAATGAAGCACAGTGGATCAACACCAGCAGATGACATGGCTCCCCAAATCAACACAGACTGTGGAAACTTCACGCTGGACTTCAAGCATCTTGCAGTGTGTGCCTCTCCATTCTTCCTCCAGACTCTGGGTCCTTGGTTTCCAAATGAGATGCAAAAGTTGCTCTCATCAGAAAAGAGGACTTTGGACCACTGAGCAACAGACCAGTTCTGTTTTTCTTTAGCCCAGGTAAGACGCTTCTGACATTGTTTAGCAGCGGCTGGAGAAGAGGAATACGACATTTGAAGCCCATGTCCAGGATCCGTCTGTGTGGTGATTCTTGATGCACTGACTCCAGCCTCAATCCACTCCTTGTGAAAGTCCCCAACACTTTTGAATGGCCTTTGCCTGACAATCCTCTCCAGGCTGCAGTCATCCCTGCTGCTTGTGCACCTTTTTCTTCCACACTTTTCCCTTCCACATAACTTTCTATTAATGTGCTTTGATACAGCACTTTGGGAACATCCAACTTCTTTTGCAATTACCTTTTGAGGCTTTCCCTCCTTATGGAGGGTGTCAAGGATGGTTTTCTGCACAACTGTCAGGTCAGCAGTCTTTCCCATGATTGTGATTCCTACTGAACCAGACTGAGAGACCATTTAAAGGCTCAGGAACCCTTTGCAGGTGTTATGGCTTAATTAGCTAATTAGAGTGGGACACTTTGAGCCTGGAATATTGAACCTTTGCACAATATTCTAATTTTCTGAGATTGTGGATTTGGGGTTTTCATGAGCTGTAATCCATAATCATCTGAATTATGTCACATCATGGCTTGAACTATCTTGCTTTGCATGTAATGAGTCTATCTCATATATTAGTTTCACCTTTTAAATTGCATTACTGAAATAAATGAACTTTTGCACGATATTCTAATTTTTCGAGTTTCACCTGTATTTAATTTGAAGACTACCCAGAATCATCAGAATTCAGGCAAATTTAAATTTAAAATAAAACAAATAAGCACTTACAAACCAATTGAGCAATTTATCCCATTTTGAAATTATTTTCTTTGCTTCAGGTACATAAAAATTACTTTCCTGAATTTTGAAGCCAGACCTGCAATTTACCTGCGTTGATAAACAGGATTAAAGCAAATGTTACACTGGGGACAAGATAATCAGTTAAAAGGCAAACCAAAACAAATTCTGCACTTGTTAAACAAGCAGCATTTGCATCTAATTTTAATATAAAAACAAATACACAGATATTTTAGAAGGTTTTTTTTTCCTTGACAAGAAAGTTCCCAAGGGATAAGTAACCTTTAAGTTTCCCCCCAAATCCAATAAAAGTTAGTCTTAAGGAAATCAGTCCCTACATAGAACTTTTCCAAAGGATTTTTTAAAGGCTCTTCCTGTCTCAGAAATGTGCCCTCCTGGTTTGTGGCACTAGCCATGACTTTTGGGCAGGAATGATGGGGTGGCTATAATTCAGGGGACTTTGTTCTGCTTCTATAATGAGTGCTCTTGTACTTTTGATGCAACCCTATCAAAATGCAGAACAGATGGCAAAATAATGGGTGTGTGGCAAGGGGTCAGCATTGAGGTGATGACCAGCATGGGGAGATAGGGTAGAAAGCAGGGGGGCAAACATTCTTGGGGGTGAAGAAGGCCCAAAGGCTAACACCAATGTTAGTTTCCAGCCCCTTATGCACAGCCCAAAGCTTGGTTTCGGGAGCCTTGGAGGAGCCGCTGTACTCTGGCATAGGCTGCTTAATGCCAGGTCATCCTGCAATAAAGTTCACCTCGATGGAAGCCTGAGAAAGAGGCCCCTCATCAGTCAGTCAACAGGAGTGTTGACTTACCACCAGCTTACCAGGTACTTAGGAGCCAAGGGCAAGGCACAAGGAAACAACAACTAAGGATTTCATAGCCAGCCACCAACACCCTACAACCAAAAGCCACATACAACCAGGCACCATGTAAATACAACATGTAGAACAGGGCCCACATTCTGGAGAGAGAAAAGTTCGGAGCCCGAAAGGTTAGAAAAATAAACCTATGGCGATCATGTCAGATTGGATCTTGCAACACGCCTATTGGCCTTCCTTCGCAAAAGCTCACCTCATTCACAATCTTAATCTGATCATGGATGAGAGAGCCCAGACTTGGTTGGATACAGAGGAGGCTCTTCCTGTCCCAGAAATGTGCCCTCCTGGTTTTGAAGTGTGGCACTAGCCACGGCTTTGGGGCGGGGGCAGGCTTCAAAAATTTCAGCAACAGGTTCTCTGCCCGGTTGCTGGATGGGCGTGGCCCTGGGTGTGGCCTAGTCAGCCTCCTGCACCAATGCGTAGGGGGTATTTTTGCCCTCCCGGGGTTCCGGAGGCTTTCCTCGAGCCTCTGGGAGGGTGAAAACAGCCTCCCCCAGGCTCTGGAGGCCCTCCGGAGGCTTCCGGAAGTTCCGGGAGGCCCATTTTTCGCCCTCCCTGAGCCTCCACGCGGGCTCTTCTGCACTTATCTCGCATCCAAACCAGGCCGCGTGGAGACTCCAGGGAGGGGTGCGGTGGGAGGGCAGAGTGGGGTGGGAGGGGCCAGCCAGGGGTGGAATTTGGCAGTTCTCCAAACCGGCCATAATGTGAGCTATGGGTTCTCCCAAACCTGGGTGAACCTGTAGCAGCCCACCCTGGGTAGGGGTGATGGGGTGGCTATCATTATAATTCAGGAGTCTCTGGTTGTCCTTAGGGGCACTGCCCAAGAGCCAGATACGATACTCTCTTTGTGAAGTTGGGTTGTCAGGATCAATCATATTGCTTGTTCTGTTTAAATACAATTGGAAGAAAGAAAAATGTGCAAAATATCAACAATGCAAAAGGGAGGGGAGATAAATGAAACTAAAAATCAAAACGCACCGTTCAAACTGCATGTTGAAAACAAACAAACAATAAAACTACTATTCATTCTTTTCAGTCCAAATTTGTATCTTACTTCATAAAGCATTTGGAAGACCTTAAGAGGTATAGTACATCCACTTTTGTTGAAATACCAATTATTGTACTCCCTACAGTACGACAACATGTTAACGCCAATAAGCCGTTGAAACATGGACACCAGATCCTTAAAGAAGCACACTTCTAAATTGGACCATAGAGTTTCTGAAAAGAGAGCAGATAATTGAAGAATACAGTGAAAACATTTTCCTTTACCTTAACTCCGATTTGCAGTCAAATACACTGCAGCTATTACTACTGGCTAGCATCTGGGCTGATTAAAATGGAAACTTCAATAAAATTGAAGCCCAATTTAATTACAGATTCAAAATAGTTTATCAGCCCATTGGGCGGCTTCATTTTGTTTCAGGTGATACCTGTAAATTCCTTCCTGAAAAGAATTCCTTAAGCAAAAACTACAATTGCCCAACAACTCTTAGAAACAATGAACTAATTACCCAGCTTCTTCAAAAAATAGTTCATGGGAAAGGTATGGGTCAGTGGTGGGATTCAATTTTTTTTACTACCGGTTCTGTGGGCGCGTGGCTTGGTGGGCATGGCAGGGGAAGGATAGTGTAAAATCTCCAGTCAGAGGTAGTATTTGCCAGTTCTCCGAACTATTCAAAATTTCCGCTACCGGTTCTCCAGAACTGGTCAGAACCTGCTGAGTACCACCTCTGGTATGGGTAGTCCTCAACTTACAACAGTTCATTTACTTTGAACGTTCAAAGCTATGTCACTGAAAGAAGTGACATGACCATTTTTCACACTTATGACTGTCGCAGCATCCCCATGGTCACATGATCAAAATTCAGATAGTTGCCAACTGACTCCTATTAATGACGGTTGCAGTGTCCCAAGATTATATGGTCCCACATCTGGGACCATCAGGTTGCAAAGACAATGGGGATGTTGGATTTACTTCACAACTGTTACTAATCTAACAACTGTAGATATTCACTTAACTGTGGTAAGAAAAGTCATAAAACAGGGCAAAACTCACTTAACAAATGTCTTATTAACAAATGTCTTGTCTGCACTACTATTACTATTAATCCTCCCATCCTTCTTTATCACCCATCCTCTCCCACTTGTGACTGTATGACTGTAACTTCGTTGCTTGTATCCTAACGATTTTTACTGACTGTTTCCTAGTATTTCATTGCTTATTGTACCCTATAACTATTATTAAGTGTTGTACCCGATGATTCTTGACTCTTGATGAATGTATCTTTTCTTTTATGTACACTGAGAGCATTTGCACCAAGACAGATTCCTTGTGTGTCCAACCACACTTGGCCAACAAAGAATTCTATTCTATTCTATCCTGTTCTGTTCTGTTCTGTTCTATTCTACTCTACTCTACTCTGTTCTAAACTATTCTATATTCTATTCTAAACTATTCTATTCTATTCTATTTCTATTCTATTGTTTAGCAACATGAATTTGGGGGTTATGATGGTCGTAAGTCAAGGACTATCTGTACTTGGATGAGCTTCCTATCTTGATGCATTTGATGCATCAAACAAAATCATATTGGAATGCCCTCTCCTATGCATTATTATGAGGCAGACACTGTCCTTGGCTTATGACCACAATTAAGCCCCAAAATAGGAACCAATTGCCAAAGTTCTGAATTTTGATCATGGGACCATGCGGATACTGTACCAATGATGGCCAACCTTTTTGGCATCGAGTGCCAAAGTGCACGCGCACGTGTGCCTTGTCAAAATGCAATGTGCATACATCCCCCATGCATGCCCCCTGAGCATGCACCCCATCCCGTGCATGCATGTGCATCTCCCATGCATGCATGTGTCCCCCACACATGCACATGCATGTGCACCCCGCATGCGCCCAACCCCCTACACATGCACCCCGCCCCCTGCACATGCACCCCGCCCCCTACACATGCACCCTGCCCCAGCGCATGCGCGGCAGAGGCCCGAAGATCAGCTGGCTGGCAGGAGCTAAGCTGGGGCAACGGCTCGCGTGCCCAGAAAGAGGGCTCTGCGTGCCACCTCTGGCACCTTCATGCCAAAGTTTCACCATGACACTACTATACCATTCCAGACACATGGCTGTCCAATCTCTTGGGCAGCAAAATTAGCCATGCCTTACCAAGTGCTTGCTTGCCTTTCTGTGGGAGTTTCCAGATTGCTTCTGCCAGTTGATTAAGAAGAGGATCCAAATCCACATCTTGATTTTGTAAAAGTGCGGGCACAATGAGGAAGAACCTGAGTGCTTCTGGCGAGGTTGGAGAGTGAAGGGGACAACCCAGAAGGCTCTTCAGACCCCTTTTCACCTTGAAGAGAAGAAAGGAAGAAGGAAGTGTGCATTTAACACGTTTCTTGAGCCCCGTTTTCTTCCCTGCTTCCTTATACAGATAGTCCTTGACCGATGGCTACAATTGAGCCCAACTTTTCTGTTGCCAAGTGAGACGTGTTAAATGAATTTTGCCCCATTTTATGACCCTTCTTGTCAATGAATCACTGCAGCTGATAACTTAATAACCTGATTGTTAACTGAATCCGGCTTCCCCGCTGACTTTGCTTGTCAGAAGGTCGCAAAAGGGGATCACATGACCTTGGGACACAGCAATGGTCGTAAGTATGAACCCGTTGCCAAGCACCTGAATTTTGATGACATGATCATAGGGGAGGCTTCCCAGAGCGTAATTGTGAAAAATGGTCATAAGAAGGCACTTTTTTCAGTGCTGTTGTAACTTTGAACGGCCACTAAGTGAACTGTTGTAAGTCAAGGACTACCTGCATGAGATATTTGAGTAGAGTATCATGACCAATTCCTTCCAACTCTTTACTGACGTTTCTTCCAGTACACACATGGGACAAAACAGGGTACAGTACTGAACACAGCACAAAGTCTACTGTGGAGAATCAGAGAGGAAGGATTTGAAATGCAAGTTGGGGACAAGACTGAGAGTTATCTTTTAGAGACTTCTCTGAGTCCCATGTTTATTTTTTTCATTTTCAATGATGGGAGACATTCTATGTAACATCTGTTGTGGTTCGCCGGCAGCCGGTGCAGACAGCAGCGAAATCGGACAGCGAGGAAGAAAGGGAACCAGTCAGGGACTCTGGAGAGGACTCGGACGAGGGTCTTGCATCCGATGCAGGATGGGGCCAGGACCATTTGAGAGTGGGGTGCTGCCTTCACAGCCTTCGGAGTCTGGCAGCAGTGAAGCAGAGGACCCAGGGGAGCCTGTTCCCAGTGCGCGTGTGCGCAGAACTGCCAGAAGGCAAGAGCAGCTGAAACAGAAGGGGTGACTCAGGAGTAAGGCTGGGAGATGATTGCCCCTCTCATTAAGGGATAAAAGTCAGACCTCAATGGTGAAACCTTTGCAGGAAGCAAAGTAGTTCGATAGATTCCGAGTCCTCCTTGAAGCTCTGTATAGTTTGGTTGCTTTCTTTGGTTGGTTTCAGTTATCATTAATTGGATACTTCTGTTTTTGGCAGCATTCCACAACACTGAAAGGTGTGTGCTTATCTTGGGGAACTGTTTAAGATTAGTTCTGGCTGGGAATGAAAGCAATTCCCAGCGTTGCAATAAAATACATTTTGCTTTTAAAACAAGTTTGTGTTTAATTATGTTTGACCTAGCTTGGGCCAGAACTACGTCTATGCCATGAACATATTCTGCAAGGGGAATGCACATGAATTGACAACATAATCTAGAACAAGGGCATCAAACTCAAGCCCTGTGGGCCAGATCCAGCCCATGGGGTGCTTAGATTTGGCCACGAAGCTACCCTGGAAACAACGAAGGACCACACATGGTGGCTGTGCCAGCAAAAAGCCTTCCTGAGCTCTGTTTTCGCTGGCAGTGCTTGGGCCACCACAGGCCCCTCCCAACACGAGTGACATTGAGCTGCCCCCTGAGGTCAAACACAACCCTAATGCAGCCCTCAATGAAATCACGTTTGACACCCCTGATCTAGAACATAATCTCTTCTCCAGCTTGTGGTTTCCAGGTGTGCTGGGATTGGAAGCTCCACTAAGAGACTCTGTACAATGGAAATCTTCAGAATCTACAGTGGAAATCTTCAGAATCTACAGTGGAAATCTTCAGAATCTACAGTGGAAATCTTCAGAATCTACAGTGGAAATCTTCAGAATCCATTAAGAATTTGAATGCTTGTTCTTGCATTTGATTTGTTTTCTTCCCAAGAACCAGTTTGACCAGAACCCGATAATCAAAGAGACTAACCGTGCCTTGCATTATATAGTCCATATTTTCATTATATTGCCTTGCTGCCTGGGCATCCATGGGGCCAAAAGACTAAATGAGATTGATTGTCATGCCCTTGTTGGAGTCTGATTCTGAGGTGGAGATTGAGCAGCTGACAGGGAATGGGAGTGTGGCTTCGGTGGCTGTAGAGGAAACGGGGGAAGGGCGCAGTCCGGCTGGGCATTCAGAGGAAGACCCAGGGCCACCCCTTCTTCATCCTAGGGCATGCAGGGAGGAACAGAGAAGGGAGCAACGTGACTTACGAGAGAGAAAAAAACCCTGATTCCTTTCATTAGTTGCAGCTGGGAGAACAGGATATAAGTGGAGCGTTTGCACACGGCTCCTTGCTGGAAGCAAAGCGTGCATTATGTTGGTCGAGGCTTATCTGAGTTTTGGCATCCTCCCAAACTTGGGTGCTGCATTATCCTTTGAAAGTCTGCAATTTATCATCCTGGCCTGCCATGTTAAATACTTCAATGTGGTTTGTATTGGGTTTTTTTATTTCTAATTATCTTTACTTTGGCTTCAGACTGCATTTCTGCCCTTCGTAGACTGTTTTTTGAAGAGTTTGTTATCCAGCTGAGGATAATTGGACATTGGGGCCAAGATGGAGGCATTAAAGGGAATTTATTCTACTTTTGTGACTTTGTTATTTTTGTGTCACGCCCTGGGTCATCACATTGATGTTGTTATCATGCAAATGCCATGAGTTAGCTACCCTCCTCAGACATTGGGATGCAAGTGTATAATGGTGGCGTTTGTATTATGCACTTCTTTTTGGTGACACTTTAATTTGCTGTGGATGGATGCCATGGACCAAGTGTAGTCTGTAAATTTTTTCCTAAACAGTCTCAGCAGCCACACTTAGCTGCTAAAATGTTCGTCATTTGTTTTGTTTATAAAACTGACGCAGAATTTTTTAAAGAAATTATTGCAAAATAAATTAGGCCTATGACTCGCAAGGGATATGCAGACTTGACGTTTACATTCCTTCTCTGGAACATAATTATTCCAACTGTTCCAAAGAAGGTGAAGCAGTTTACTTGAAATTAAGCCTCCAAATTGGGGGGGGGGGGGGGGGGGGGGGGAGAAATTGGAGAAAAAAAAATGGAACTTTGTCACTATATATATTGACAGCAGCAAGACTACTGTATACCCAAAAATGGAAGGACACTTCGATTCCTACTGAAGAATGGTGACAGAAGTTGATGGAATTGATAGAAATGACAAAACTGACCACTTTGATTAAAGAAAAGAACGTAAGTATTTTTGTTTCCACATGGAAACCGCTTCTGAACTTCGTGCTTGATGTGGAAAAGAATGAAACTCTGACTTTAGGTTTTACAGATTAGACTGATAGATCTTTATAGAAATGACTTGTTCATACTAATATGGAAAAGCAAAATGCTGTGATTTGATGTTAATGCCTTATTTTACTGTAACAGAGGGAGTCAGAAATCAATGCTTCTTTTTCTTTCTCTCTCTCCATTTTTCTTCACTTCTCTTCCCCCTTTCCACTTCCCCCTCACCACTGTTCTATTTTTGTATTTTGTATTTTATAATACTCTATAATTTAATAAAAAATGTTAAGCCCCCCCAAAAAGAAATTAATCGTCCAAATAGGGATTAATTCATAGTGTTCCAAATAAAATATGCCTGTTTTAAGGCAATCAAGTTTAGGAGGAAGAAAAGAAAGTTCTTCTCCCTGAATGTTCAATTTTGTTATTTGTAGCAGCTTTATTAAACAAACAAATTTAAATGTTTTATCCAGCAATTATTAATTGATCCTTTAAATAAAATAATTGCTGGCCTTGAATAGACCTTACTTTCTGTAGCATCCATAAATTACAGAAACAATCTTGGCATAAAAAGCTTTCTTGGCCCACTCAGAATTATTTACTCTGGTGTTTGTCTTTGGGGATTGACAACCCCAAATAAGACAAACACCAGGAAATATTCTATTCTATTCTATTCTATTCTATTCTATTCTATTCTATTCTATTCTATTCTATTCTATTCTATTCTATATGTGAAATCTTAATGGCACGTTATACCTGTGTGAAGACTTTAGGCTTAGTGGCAATCTTCTTAAAGAAAAGAAGAACAGCCGACATATCAACACCAACCGTCTCTTCAAATGTTCTGAATTTTTCCTCTCTGCAGGAAAGATAAGGATCAATCACCATCAGAGTCTCTTCTCTACTTCATGGAAACTCGTACATTGTGAAAGATTTGGATTAGATTTGGCTATGAAGGTTACTCTGTTGATCACAAGGCTGTAGCAATCTGGCCCCCTTTATAATTAGCGCGGCCCTCAAGACTGATAGCAATATAGCAATAGCATTTAGACTTATACACTGCTCCCCTGTACTTTACAGCCCTCTCTAAATGGTTTACAGAGTCAGCATATTGCCCCCAACAATCTGGATCCTAATTTTACCAACCTTGGAAGGATGGAAAGCTTAGTCAATCTCGAGCCAGTCAGAATCGAACTGCTGGCAGTCAGCAGAATTAACCTGCAATACTGCATTCTAACCACTGCACCACCACTGATAAATACACCTCCTTCTTAATTTTGCCCTACATTAAGCATGTCTACCTTAATTTATAATAACAGTTAGAAAATACATCAGTTCTTCGATGGATGCAAGTTACCTCTGTTGTAGAAAACTGCCATTGATGCAAGCTGCTGACGAGAAGATCAAGTTAATATTCCTGTTTATGGAAAAGAAAAACAAGCAGTGTTTTTTATTAAGTTGATTTCAAAAAATCTTAACTAAGATGAAATGGACAAGAATCTTTGATTATAAAGCTACCTACTTCCTTTTTGAAAATGAACTTTGTGGTACCTTTCTTCCCTTGCAGAAAGTCATAGAGTACTGAAATCTTTGTAATAAAAGGGCAAGAGAGAAACGACAACAGCAAGACCACTTCTATCACATTCTCCATTATAGGATAAACATAAAAGGCCTATTCTTCCATCAAAAGCCATAGAGTTACTTGCTGGAGTTCATAGATCCAGGAATCCAATAGGCAAAAGTTACCATTTTGTTGGTGAAGTAATGTCAAAAAACATCTATAACAGTCTCCTCCAGTTTAGCATCTTCTAGATATTGTCTGTCAACTAAAAAAATATTCCTTTGGTCTTTTTAGTTGCCAGCAGAAAGGGAGTGGGAGAAAGTAGTGCATTCCTTAAGTGCCTCAGATAATCGCCTTGGCAGCCCAAAGCTGTTGGCACACAAGAATATTACTGGAGAGCATGATGGATGACTCTTGACTATGGATGTGTCCCATTGGAGAATATACATCCAGGGGGTGGGAGGAAGACCAGGGTCAAGGGGGAAATGGATGATGTATTTTAGTGTCGGCTGCACCCAGCTAACGCCAATATGGCCACTCCTAATAAATCAATTTTTTTTTACTCTGAGAGATGCGGCTAGAGACTTATGATTTGAATGGGGATGGATTTGTTGGAGCCCTGACATTGTCATCGTTCCAATTAAACTCTCCATCCCAAATTCAGCACTCAGACACAAGGTCCATCCAAGAAAGAATTTATTAGAGAAGTCATATTAGCACATCTGGGGAAAACCCGAATCTGAATTCCCGCATTTTCCTCTGCTACACTAATACTCACACCCAGCCCCTATTGATGATCCTCAAGTCACTCTCTTCAATCCACCTCAATTCTGAACTCCCACCAAGTCCCTCCAAATTCCAACGATTTGACCTTGAGCTCTGTTGAAAGAAAGTTGTTGTGGCTCTCCTCCCTTCTCACTACTCTCGTTCCCACAGCTGCCCATTCCCCCTGTGGCAGTCCTAAATCTGAATCAAGATGGATCCGGGGCTGACAGATATATTGTGAACACCATAGTTAAGTACCGATGATTGCTCTTGGCTCAAAGACAGTAAAGAAGACTTTACTTTTAGGAAATTAAAAATGGAAAGAGAAATGTTTAATTCTCTTGGAAGGCGGTAGGTTTACATTGCAATTTACGGTGGCCCAATAGTTATAAGAAAATGGAAACAAATATTGTTCTTTCGGTTTGACCTATCTATTAGGAAGCTGTTTGATTTAATCTTCATATACATTTATGTGCTTTTTGAAATGCTTATTTCAAAAAGAAATAGTGGAATGCATGCATGTACCGGTATTTATGTACATATTCTTATATAAAATATATTGGTGGATTTTAGGCCAGAATTAAAGACCAATGACCCTAGTGTCAAGATTACAGCAGTTATCCCCATTTAAATCATGAGTCTCAAGCCAAACTTCAAAAACTTAAAAAGGATTTATTGGGAGTTAACATGCCAGCACTGCCTGGGTGTAGCCAATTCTGAGACACATAATTCATTGTCACCCTTGACCCTGGTTTCCCCCCCACCCTCTGAGTGTATCATAATTCATATTCTCCAATAGGACACACCCATAGCCAAGAGTCATCAATCATGCTTTCCAGTTGCAGAAACTTCAGTCACCTAGTTACTATCTTTGAAAACATTTATGGAATGCAGTTTCGGTTTTGCAAGCTGATGCACTGCTCCTCCCTCCCTTTCTGTTGGCAACTCTAAAAAGACCATAGAAATATTTTATGAGTTGACATCTAGTATAAATCAAAGAATTCCTAAAGAATCCCTAAACGGTGACTAATACCATTAAATAGGGAAACACACCAGTCTATTTTCTATTGACTGGATATTGCCCAATTGCATTTGACTCCGGATTTATGAGACTATTTCACAAATGCTAACAGAGAGAGGTCATTCTTGTTTAATGATTGCTTGTTCAGCGACAGTTTGAAGTTACGATGGTGCCCAACAAGGGGGACTTACAGCCAGTCCTCGTACCTATGGCTGTTACAATGTCCATTTGTGGCCTTCATTGCTGACTTCAGACAAGCAAGTCAATGGGAAAGCCAGCAGGAAGTCACAAACGATGAAAATGTGATTGCAAGAAGCTGCATCCACATGGGATTTAACTAACGCAGGCAACGTGTCAATGAGGTCACATGACATCACAATTTATGACCACATCTCTTAGCAATGGAGTTCCCAATCTCAATTACTGTTGATAAGTGAGGACTATAGTGGAGCCTTAATCCGTTTCTGGACTCTGGTCGCGACCCTAATCCGTTTCTGGACTCTGGTCGCGACCCGATTTGGTCGTGTCCGGAAGCATGACCGACTGCACATGTGGGCAGTAAAAAAAATGGTGCCAGAAGGGAAATGGGCACGGAAAGGGAATCTTTCCACACCGATTTTGTTCGCCACTTGATTTTTTGAATCATGACCCGATTTAACAATTGGGTGGATTTTTTTGTTCGCCACCTAATTTGGTTGCAAACAGGAATGTTCGCGACCCGAGGTTCCACTGTACCTATTTGTTTGCAAGAACTGCAGAAATCAGATTGTCCATGTGGTATTTACCATTTTATATTATTCCAGCAGCTGGGATCTGAATTGGACAACCACTTAAGAACCTTTTCCTCCTCCACTGTGGCCAGTGTTTGCAATACATTAGTGTACGCATTCTGAAAAAAAAAAGGTAAAGATGTATTTTTACATATCTTGTACAATGTATATGGCTTCATGTTTAAACCACAAATCAGGAGAAGCTGTACATCAGGGGTGTCCAACCTTGGCAACTTTAAGACTTGTGGACTTTGCTGGTTGAGGAATTCTGGGAGTTGAAGTCCACAAGTCTTAAAGTTGCCAAGGTTGGACACCCCTGATGTACATAAAGGTACCTTCTCTAATGCAGAGAACAGCATTAAAAAAATATTGAAACTGTTGCATGAGGAACCCATAAAAGAGTTGACTTTTCAAGCCTGCCACTAATATATATATATATATATTGCTTGTTTGGCCTTTTAAGGAATCAGTTTATAGTAGAATGAAAGTTTCCTTCTCTCAAATTGTACTACTCTTAAGGATAGAAAATATTTCCCCAGATCTGGCATATAAAATATATCAGGGACAGAAAAATATTCAGATTGTGCATCCATTAATGTGACATTTCTGTGTATAATTTGGATCATGGACTTCTCTTAGATACTGGAAGCTGCCTTATTATATTAACAATAATAGCTTGCTTTTCCTAGCAGATATGAAGTTGTGACAAGCTTTATCTCTTCTTCTGCTCCACTTCAATTCAGAAGCCATATCAGATAACTTTTTAAAAATAGAGATAGTTGGGGAAAGAGTGGATAACAGCTGTTGCCCAGCCTTACTTGGATTTGAAAGTTAAGTTGGTTAATACCTGGATGGGAGATGACTAGAGAATACCAAATACTATAGATTACCAGGGGTCTTCAAACTTGACAGCTTTAAGACTACTGGACTTCAACTCCCAGAGTTCCTCCTCCAGACATGTTAGCTCAGGAATTCTGGGAGTTGAAGTCCACAAGTCTTAAACTTGCCAAGTTTGAAGACCCTTGGACAAGACCATTGTTTCTGAACCTCAGCTATTTTAAGAAGTGTGGATGGACTTCAGTTCCCAGAATTCCTCAGCATGGGGACTATGAATTTGAAAAAAATATTAAGGAAGACCATGTTGAATTGGGTCTACATATTACCCTGAACCTAAACGGCCTAATTGTATTTACTTGTTTCTAACTCATAAAACTTGACTCAACAGTCTTGTTATCTTTCTATTGATAAAGGATAAAATGTGACTGTGACAAGAATTTACTAACTGTGTAGATCAGGGGTGTCAAACTCGCGGCCCATGGGTCAGGTGTATCACGCGCTGGCCATGCCCACCCCCGATTTAGCAAAGTGGGGGAAAGTCGTGATACATCACATGTCGACAACGTGACGACACGAGTTTGGCACTCCTCGTCTTTATAGACACTGAATAACTAATCAAGACATCTTGGAACAATAACCAATGTCATAAAATGACACTGCATTTAGGCTTATCATGTAAGTGAAATAGGGCATTTTTTTCAACGTTCTAGGCAAGCCCTGTTTGACTCATGAAAAGGCCATTTCCGGAAGGAATTAAAAAAATAATTTCAAGTAAATGTTGGCATTTTGTATTACAAATTATAGATGTTTGTTGCCAAGTTCCCCATTTGATTACCTTTTCTTCCAGGTGAAGCACAATACTTTGGTTGCCTCCAGCAATGATTTTAACTACCTTGTCCAAGGTACTTCCTTTAGTAAGAGACAAACAAAAGAGTGATTCTTCCCTTAAGATTAAGAAAGATTTCTATCTAGAATCTGGTTAGTAGCGGGGTGTCAAATTCACGGTTCACGAGCTGGGTGCATCACGTGCTGGCCATGTTCACCCCCCAGTTTAGCAAAGGGGAAAAAAGTCCAAATGATGCCATGAGTTTGACAATCCCTAGGTTAGTAGAACTTTGGCTAGTGCCACTTACAGTGCAAGCTACTTAACAAAAAGAAACTTCTCACTATCTCATCAGAATCAATCACTGCATGTCAAGAACCGTTTCAGCATACTGAATTAAAACCTGATACTTATTTGAGGAGACATATACTGCCAAATACAGGGGATGCGGTGGCTCAGTAGCTAAGACGCTGAGCTTGTCAATCAGAAAGGTCGGCAGTTAGGTGGTTTGAATCCCTAGTGCCGCGTAATGGAGTGAGCTCCCATTACTTGTCCCAGCTTCTGCCAACCTAGCAGTTCAAAAGCATGTAAAAATGCAAGTAGAAAAATAGGGACCACTCTGGTGGGAAGGTAACAGCGTTCCATGCGCCTTCGGCATTTAGTCATGCCGGCTACATGACCACAGAGACGTCTTCTGGCAACGCTGGCTCTTTCGCTTTGTAATGGAAAATGAGCACCACCCGCTAGAGCCAGAAACGACTAGTACATATGTGCGAGGGGATCCTTTCTCTTTACCTATACTGCCAAAGCTGGATTGTCTATTAAGGCAACATAATTATAATCATAAGCCAATATCCCATTTCAATCTTTTTTCTTTGACATGGCCTTTTATTTGTGTCTTGGTCACATTTTTCCCGATTAGCCACATCTCTCTGTATGCATCTGTTTTTTATTGTAATCTGAAAATTATTTTCAGCCTTAGGATTTAACTCGTACTTTGCATATAACGTCCAGCTTGAAAAATGGTATGACTTACTGTGTTTATTACGAACACCCAGATCAAGAGGGAGAGGAATCAGCTGGTCACTTGTTCTTCCTTCTCCATGTTGCCCTTCAGCTCCATAGCCAAATGAATATACTTCCCCAAGTGCCGGGACATAAACCAAAGTGTGCCATCTGTTTGCAGAATCATAGATAATTCATAGGTAGAAGTTTTACTGATCGCATCAGGCCCTTTATAAACTGAGAAGATATTATGACTGTTCACCACAACATATTCCTGTTCTGTTGTTTCTTTAAGATTCTGAAGCAATACAGATAGTCCTCAACTTATGGCCACATTTCTGTTAAGTGACCTTTGCTCCATTTTACAGCCTTTCTTGCCTCAGTTGCTAAGTGAGTCACGGCAGGGGATAAGTCAGTAACCTGGTTATTAATTGAATTTGGTTTCCCCATTGATTTTGCTTGTCAGAAAGTCAGAAAAGGTGATTACATGTCCTTAGAACAGAGGTCTTCAAACTTGGCAAGTTTAAGATTTGTGGACTTCAACTCCCAGAATTCCTCCTCCACCGATCATGTTAGCTCAGGAATTTTGGGAGTTGAAGTCCACAAGTCTTAAACTTGCCAAATTTGAAGACCCTTGCATGCATAAGCACACCAACGTGTCTACCGTCCCTGTCCTATTGTTTCTTGTATTTTTTTAATTTTTCTTATATGTATCCATGTATTCATAATTATGTTTTTACTTATACCTATTATCTTGTAAGCAATTGACAAACCAAACAAACAAACAAACAAACAAACAAATAAATATTGCAACCATTATAAACATGAGCCAGCTGCCAAGTATCTGAATTTTGATCACAGCCACCTGTCTGAAATGTTGCCATAGGGCAGTGGAGGCTAACCTTTTTGGGCTCCTATGCCAATAATTGCACGTGCGCTTGCCTGCTTGTGCTCGTGTGCCATCACCCAGAAGGCAATGCACGCGCGCCCCCCATGCCTCCTGCATGCTTGACCCTCTTAGGGACTCTTAGGGACTCTGCTACATATGTAGGTTTTATAGGTAATCAGCGGCATCTTGAATCAAATCTAGAACAATACTGGCACCAGTACATGAAGCAGAGATATCAGACAGACATGCTGAACCATCACTTCAGCTGCTGTAAACTGGACCAGGTGAAGCTTCTAGTTGTTCTTCAAGGAGACAGCTCAATAGTACATATTGATGTATGTGCTTCTCTTGCTTGTTGTTGCCTCTGTTCCACTGATGTGCAACTTTGGAGGGCAGGAACCTTTTCCTGATTTCACTGGATACCCGTTGTCCTCTGGATACCATCAAATATTTGGAAGGAAAAGGGATTTCTTACCTTCCGCACGCTACCTGGGTCACTTGTGCACCAAACAGCTCTGCCACAAGACGTGGAAACAACTCATTGCAGGTGGAATTGTGGCCAAGCTGACCGTAGCAGCCAGATCCAAAGGTGCAGACTAATCCATCCTTAATGGGAAAGAAGAGAAAACGTGGCACAGTTCAACACAAAGCCTTTGTCACTTGGGAATATTAAAAACTGCACACATTGTGAAGGGAAGGAGGAATGGTAGTACATAATAAAAAGTATATAGTTTATATCCGTGACGGCGAACCTACGGCATGCATGCCGGAAGTGGCATGCAGAGCCATTTCTGCAGATACACAAGCTGCCACCCGGAACAGTCCACTGCATATGCACGCATGCCTCCTGCCAGCCAGCCGATTGTCAGGTATCTGCTGTGCATGCCGGGGGGGGGGGCAGGAGGAGGGTCGCTTGTGCAGTATATTATGGGTGCCGGCACGCATATGCGCACGCACGCACTTTCAGCACACGAGGACAAAAAGGTTAGCCGTCACTGGTCTATATTCTGGACCGCACAGGCATCAACAAATAAACTTAAATCTATATTAAGGAGAATGGTAATTGCAGCCTGTACAAATCAGGCATGAGTATACAGTTAGTCCTCGATTTACAACAGGGGTGGGTTTCTACTGGTTCTGTCCACCTCTGTAGAACCGGTAGCTCTGAAGAGCAGCAGACATAGAACTGGTTCTATGTCTGCTGGTGTTTTTGCCCACCCGCCAGCCCAGGCTCTTACCTGACCTTTATTTCCTGCTTTTTTCAACTTCAGCTGCTGTGTGAGGCACAGCTGCAGTTAAAAAAGCAGGAAAAAGGGGCTTTTTGAAAGGCTGCTTCTCTGCACACAGAATGCTGATGACAATTTACAGGCCGATTTGCACTCCGGCAGCGTGCAGGGAAGCACATCATAAATCACCGAACCTCATAAATGACTAAACTGGTAATTAACCCTGTCAGATCCCACCCCTGATTTACAACCATTTGTTTAGTGACCGTTCAAAGTTACAACGGCATCAAAAAAGGAATTATGATCGTTTTTCACACTTACGACCCTTGCGACATCTCCCTGGTCACGTGATCAAAATTCACTGGCTCGACTTTATGACGGTTGCAGTGTCCCGGGGTTATGTGATCACTTTTTGCCACCTCCCTGATTCTCTGAACAACTGTGTTACTAATTTAACAACTGCAATCATTCCCTTAACAACTTTGGCCAATGGTGTTGAGGGTCGCTTTGGAATGACTCAGCAGAGCTGTCAGCTGCAGGATGGATTCTGAAGCAACTGCGGGGCTGGAAATGGCTCTTTTCATGTATTGATGTGGTGCATATTGTTAGAGGGAGCTGGGGCACATATAGGTGGTAATTAAGCTATAAGTTAAAACATGGTGAAGGTGGCACCAGGTGGGGATCAGTTAGTGAAGGTCGGAATAGGTTAGGGATGTAGACATGTTATAGGGTTAATAGCATTTAGGGATAATGGTTTAGGCGTGGCCAGGATTAGAACTGCGTATAGGCCTGGATGTGGTGTGGTGTGTCTCATGATAATGGTAATAAAAGGAAAGGGAGCAAACTCAAACCCAATGCTAACCTTGCCTGGCTTTTAGCCTTTCTTGTCAGATAGGAGTATTTGTTGTTTGCTGATCTAATGAATAAACCATCATTACACTACAAAGGAGCTGGAGTTTGTATTCATTTCAGGACAAATCTTCAATACTCAGGGACTGGCTGAGACTGTGGAAAGAAAGGCCAAAAATTTGCTAGGTGAGGCAGTTGTTAAGGGTATTTTGCCCCATTTTACAACTTTTCTTCCCACAGTTGTTGAGTGAATCACTGCAGTCGATAACAGAGTAACCTGGTTGTTAAGTGGATCTGGCTTCCCCAAGTGACTTTGCTAATCAGAAGGTCACAAAAGGGGATCCTATGACCTTAGAACATAACAACTGTCATAAATACGAATCAGTTACCAAGTATCTGAATTTTGATCATGTGACTATGGGGAAGTGTGGAAAACAGTCATAAGTCCCTTTTTTCAGTGCCGTTGTAGCTTTGAACGGTCACTAAATGAACTGGTGTAAGTCGAGGACTACCTGTATAGTATAAGTAAACCGGCTTAGGACCATTCGTTCCGAGCAGCGTGCCCTGCCTTTATGACCATGGCTGCCACTGCAGTACAAGAGACGTCAGCTGAATATGCCCACCAATGCATATTGGTGTGAGGGCCTACCCTTCCTTCTCACTCAAAAAAAGTGAAAACTATTGAAACTTAGTATTTCAAAAGGAACCTTTTATTGAGCAGAAGTGATAGCAGAACAAAAGCAAAGCAGACTCGAAATCCCCTCAGGTAATGCAGTTAGAAATAAGGCATTAGAAACCCCTCCCACTAGTCCAATGTGGATTCAGCCAATCCACAGGTGTGGAAATGTTATTGTGGTGGCTGCCCTGAGAACCAGATAAGCACGCATTCCCAGGGTCATCTTCCACCGGCTTTCAGAGTGAAACAACCCCCATGGCCCTCCCCCCTTGTACATTCCCCAAAAGGTGAGAAAATCTCAGGGCGCTTAGGCGCCAGGATAAGGGTTATAAAAATAGCAGTTGTCAGAGGTATAAAAAAATAATTACATTCGAGATTCCCCCTTTCCCCCAGTTGAATGGCAGTATCACTGACAGCATCACCTTGTCCCACTACTCCTAGAAGGCTTGGGCCTTCTCCCCATTCTGTGCAGATCCACTATGCAGGTTCATTCCTTTTCCTTTCTGTGCAGTTGCTGACAAGCAAACCCAGCCAGCACAAGACACGATTACTATAGAAAGCTAGTCAAGGTGATATTTCCAAAGGTAGAAAGAGCCTCAGAACATTTGTGTGGGCCAGTGTTCATCTTGAGAGGTTTCTGAGACTCTTTCCAGCCTTCAGAAGTATCATGAGGGCTGGCAATTGTCTCACTAATTCTGAGACAAACTCCTAGAGGTGAATCTGAAAGGAAGATAGCGTACAAGGTATCATATAGATTAGATGAAAAGTTTTTAAAAAGCAGTCAATATAAACCTTTGAGAGAACTGCAGTGTGCTCGCCACCACATGAAATAAAAACTGTCTTCTTTTGCTCCAGTGCCTTCACATTTGTGGGAATGTATCTGTCTGAAAGGTAAAATAAAATTAGATTCCTGTGGTCATGACAATGCTTTTTAAAAAGGTGAAATAAAATCTGTTATTGTATTTAATCTGTGCAATAATAGTTAACAGAGGGATTTGAAGATTAGTGTAATGTTTGGGCTAACCTGTTGACTTTTAAATATATATATATATTCTATGATCCTGTCATTGGATTGATTTGATTATCAGATAGAGATCTTCTTACTGAGAATAATTATTTATTTAATATAATATTTTGGTTAAATCGGGCTGGGAAAGCATATAACTATTTGTAAAGGGGAGGAGAATTTAACATTTTTTCCTTTCTTTTTTTCCCAGCATCCAGTCAGGGTAGATTTTATGTTTATGTTTAATGTTAAATTGATTTAATATTTGGGTAATTTTTCCCCTTTTTATACATTGTTAGTGTTGGATGTATGTCTTTCTGTTTTGCATTTTATTCTTGTTGCTAAAACAATGCATGCACACACACACACATACACACACACACGCAAGGTGAAATAAAATAATTGTTTTGCAAATAAAATTGGATTCTTTGTCAAGTACTGTGCTTCCTTTCTCTATTTAGGAACATACAGGTAGCCCTCAACTTACAACTACAATAGAGACCCCAAAATTCATTGTTAAGCAGTGTGGACATTAAGTGAGACATCATGGGGCTGCATCTGATTTTACAATTTTTTCCCCATGGTCATTAAGCAAATTACTATGGTCATTAACTGGGACATCACATAAGTGTGACTTGCAACCTTCCTTGCTGGCTTCACCATTGAATTTGCTTATTGGAAGTTGGCTGGATGGGTTGCAAATGACGATCACATAACCACAGGATGCTGCACAATTACCATTGTAATTGCACAATGGTTGCCAAGTGCCCAAATCACAATCATGTAACTATGGGGACACTGTGGCAATCATGTGAGGACCAGTGGTGATTATTTTTTAGTGCCATTGTAAGTTTGATCATTAAATGAATGGTCATTAAGCAAGTCATTAAGTGTTATTTGAAAACCAATTCAGAGTTTTCCAGATGTATTGATCTAAATTACCCTCAGGACATCTTCTCCTAGAACAAGGGTGTCAAACTGATGGCCCATGGGCCAGATCCGCCACATGCAGGCCATGCCAGCCCCAGCTCCATGAAGGGGAAAAAAGTCGTGAAATGTCATGCGACAGCAACGTGACTCTGCAAGTTTGACACCCATGTCCTACAAGAGGCACGGTCCTTGGTGCTCTCTGATCAGCTTGGTTGTTTTTTTTTTTGCAGGCGTTGCATTCCCAACTAGGCAACATCACCAGTGCACTGATGATATTACCTAGTTTGGTGATGAAACAACTGCAAGAAAACAACCAAGCTCAGAGACCAATGAGTTTAGGTGACCCATTTCCTATGATTATAAACGAGCGGATCTCAAATGCCTCCTCTGCCTCATTTCTAGAATTTCTCCTCACCTTCTGTGTCTCCAAGGCCAAGTTGTCCAAACATATTCTTTCCCCAAGAGTAAACAGTCCCAAATATAGAGACAACCATGCTGTGAGCAGATCCAGCTGCAATGTTAATCAAAGGAATGCCTTCCAATGCTTGTACCAGCTGTGGTTCCTTAATGTGACCCATTGCCTTTCCCACTCCAAGCTGGCCATGTTCATTCTCACCCCAAGCAAAGAGTTCTCCTCCTGAGTACAACACACAAAAGGAAGCCATTAATACACAGCCGTCTATATCTATATATATAAAAGCAAAATACTACTCATGCATCATCACAAAATCTCCAGAACCATAAAGCCTACATACTTGAAATGTGGCATGGAGTCTGGCTTCTGAGTGCTCACTAGGAAAAGATTTTTCAAAATGACCATCAGAGCATTAATATTTCGTATATTATTATTAACACACTATGATGCTAAGGAGTTGTACTCCCCCTCCCCACCTGAAAAGGAATCTGTCCCAAATGCAAAACACAAGCAGAGGAAAGGAGTTTAAGTTTCAGTTTTAGTTTCACAGCAGCAACCAGCTTTAGTACAGAAGAGATGATCTAAGCCACGCCCAGGCTCCTTGCTGTCTCCTTGCTCACACAGCAAATACTGTTTCACTTTCCAAACAGCCCTCAACTGTCTCACACACTGACAGGATGCTAGCCAGATGAATACCGATGGATGCTGGTAGGCAGAGGCAGAATTTTTTCCCCTTATTTCTTTTCCCCCAAAACTAAGCCTGATCACATAGTTTTGTAGCAAAGCACGGGTATCCAGCTAGTTTATCTATATATTTCTATCTCACTTTGCCTTCAGAGTTCAAAATGGTACATGTGAAAGCTTTTTCCTTGAATTTATCCCTACAACAATTGCTTGGAAGAGGCTGTGCCTATCAGCTGAGACATTACAACCAAAGTAAAAGGCAAGTAAGAGAGTTGTTAAAAGAAATGCACCAGTAGCCCATACCTTTTGAAAGAGCCATGGAATGATGGTCACCACATGCAATCTGAACAATTTGTTTATTTGCTAATTCTTTCAGTAGTCTGGAAAAAAAAGGAAGAAGAATACATGTTGCTTAGATATCAATACCCATTACAGTGGAGCTTTGGGTCACGGCCATAATCCGTTCCCAGACTCCGTCCACGATCTGATTTGATCATGTTTGGAAGCATGACATGACCACAAAATGTCACCGAAGGGGAAATCAGCACGGAAAGGGAATCTTTCCATGCCGATTTTGTTTGCCACCCAATTTTTGAATCGTGACCCGATTCAAAAATTGGGTGCATTTTTTGTTCGCCACCCGATTTGGTCACAAACAGGAGCATTCACGACCTGAGGTTCCACTGTATATAAGAAGCAGACGAGAAAAGATAAAAACACCGGCCATTGAAATGTGTGCTTCACAAATAGCTCCGTATTTTCATATTACCAGTCTACCAGTCGTTTGTTCTCACTTGAGGTGTAAGTGACCAGATTCAAATTGATCAAACAATTACTACTAACCTGCTTTCAATGGAGGACCTGTATACTGCACGAGTCAAAAAGAGGCTGTGAAAATATTTACAGACCCCTCACATAAACTGTTTCAACTCCTTCCCTCAAAACGACACTATACAGCACTGCACACCAGAACAACTAGACACAAAGACAGTGTTTTCCCAAATGCCATCACTCTTATTTATTTATTTATTTATTTATTTGATTTGTCAATTGTTTACAAGATAATAAGTATAAGTGTATACATAGTTGTGAATACATGAAATGGGTACATATAAGAAAAATAAAAGAAGAAGAAGAGAAACAATAGGACAGGGACGGTAGGCACGTTGGTGCGCTTATGCATGCCCCCTACAGACCTCTTAGGAAAGGGGTGAGGTCAATAGTAGACAGTCTAAGGTTAAAGTTTTTGGGGTTTGGGGAAGAAACTACAGAGTCGGGTAGAGTATTCCAGACATTGACCACTCTATTGCTGAAGTCGTATTTCCTGCAATCAAGTTTGAGTTTGTATCTATTGTTTGCTCTTGTGTTGTTATGGTTGAAGCTGAAGTATTCATTGACAGGTAGGACATTGCAATGTATGATTTTATATACCATGCTTAAATCAGACCGAAGACGGCGTAATTCAAGGTTTTCTAGTTCTAGAATTTCAAGTCTGGTGGCATAAGGTATTCTACGAGTAGAGGAGTGGAGAACTCTTCTTGTGAAATATTTCTGGACTTTCTCAATTGTGCTAATATTAGATACGTAATGTGGGTTCCAGACTGATGAACTGTATTCGAGTATTGGTCTAGCAAATGTTTTGTATGCTCTGGTTAGTAGTGTGATATTACCAGAGAAAAAGCTACGTAGGATTAGGTTAACAACTCTTAATGCCTTTTTGGCTATGTAGTTGCAGTGGGCTCTAGCACTTAGATCATTAGAGGTGAGTATTCCAAGGTCCTTTACAGAGCTTGGGTCATCAACAAGATCTTGACTATTCAGCTTGTATTTTATTTTCTGATTTTTTTTGCCAATATGTAAGACAGAGCATTTATTTGTTGAGATTTGAAGTTGCCATTTGTTTGACCATTCTGATACATAGTCAAGATCTTTTTGTAGGGTAGCAGTATTGTCTGTGGTATTGAACAGCTTTACATCATCAGCGAAAAGAACGCAATTGCTCTTAATATGATCACAGAGGTCATTTATGTAGAGTATGAAGAGAGTTGGTCCTAGAACACTGCCTTGGGGGACACCACTATTGACAGGTACAGAATTTGATAGGACGCTCCCAATTTTGACCATTTGTTGTCTGTTTGCCAGGAATGCTTCTATCCAGTTATTCAGTTGTCCAGAGATACCATAGGATTTTATTTTTAGGAGTAGTTTGTCGTGTACCACTGAATCAAAGGCTTTACAGAAGTCTATGTAGATTGCGTCTATTGCTTTGCCCTGGTCGAGTTGTGTCGTCCATATGTTTTTGCAGTGTAAGAGTTGCAGATTACAGGATAGTTTTTTTCTGAAACCAAATTGTTTATTGGAGAGTAGATTGTTTGTCTCTAAGTGGAGGATGATGGATTGGTTAATAATTGATTCCATGACTTTACAGGTGACGCAGCATAAGGAGATTGGTCTGTAATTTTCAACTAGGCTTGGGTCTCCCTTTTTGAAGATGGGGATGACTGTGGCTTGTGACCATAGGTTAGGCAAGGAGCTGGTCCTGAAAGATTTTTCAAAGATTATGCTTAGAGGTTCGGCTACAGTAGTGGATAGCTTTTTTAAGAAGTAGGCACATATTCTGTCCGGTCCAATAGATAGAGATGGTTTTAGATTGCGTAGTGCTTTTTCAACATTGTCTGTTAAACAAACAATTCCCTCAACACTGTTCAACTATTTACAAAGTCTGCATTACTATTACTATTAATCTTCCCATCACTCCTTATCATCCATCCCCTCCCACTTGTGACTGTATGACTGTAACTTTGTTGCTTGCATCCTTACGATTTATATTGACTGTTTCCTAGTATTTCATTGCTTATTGTACCCTATAACTATTATTAAGTGTTGTACCTGATGATTCTTGACTCTTGACGAATGTATCTTTTCTTTTATGTACACTGAGAGCATTTGCATAAAGCCAAATTCCTTGTGTGTCCAATCACACTTGGCCAATAAAGAATTCTATTCTATTCTATTCTATTCTATTCTATTCTATTCTATTCTATTCTATTCTATTCTATTCTATTCTACTCTACTCTACTCTACTCTACTCTACTCCACTCCACTCCACTCCACTCCACTCCACTCCACTCCACTCCACTCCACTCCACTCCATTCTATTCTTATTTCAGACACATTATGTGAAGGTCCAGTTCTCTGGAGACGGCCATGATTGGAAAGATGGAAGAAAAGAGAAGAAGATGACCAGTAGCAAGGCAAAGGGATTTAGTTACGGTAGCGATGACCAACATGATAGCAGTGTTCCAATACAGGTAGTCCTCGACTTACAACAGTTGATTCAGTGACTGTTCAAAGTTACAACGGCACTGAAAAAAGTGACTTGTGACCGTTTTTTCACACTTAAGACCGTTGCAGCATCCCCATGGTCGTGGGATCAAAATTCAGATGCTTGGCAGCTGGCTCATGTTTATGACTGTTGCAGTGTCCTGGGGTCATGTGATCACCTTTTGCGACTTTCTGACAAGCAAAGTCAATAGGAAAATCAGATTTACCTAACTACTGTGTTACTAACTTAACAACTGCAATGATCCACCTAACAAGTGTGGCAAGAAAGGTTGCAAAATGGGACAAAATTCACTTAACAAACATCTCACTTAGCAATAGAAATGTTGGGTTTAGTTGTGGTTGTAAGTTGAGGATGACCTGCCACAAAGAAGAATGGTGGTCAATCTATTCTCCAAACCACCTGAAAGCAGGAAAGAAGCAACCTAGAACTAGTGAGAAAAATTAATCAGTGGAACAACCTGCCTCCAAAAGCTGTGAATGCTCCAACACTGGAAGTTTTTAAAAAGATGTTGGATAACCATTTGTCTGAAGTGGTGTAGGGTTTCCTGCCTAGGCAGGGGGTTGGACTAGAAGACCTCCAAGTTCCCTTCCAACTCTGTTATTCTGAGTGTACCAATGGGGGAACTGAAAGAAAAGGATTATCAGAGAGAAAATCTATCTATGTAGTCAATAGGATTGATTTTATTGTACTAATCAAATATTAAGATCAATCCATGGGTAGTAAACATGCTGCCATTTTCAATTAAATCAGATGGCCAGCTGTAAGATTCGAATGAAGGAATAAGTAAATAAATAAACAAACGCTTGGAAAGAGATATTGGGCTGCTACAATGTTCAGTCCTGGGCCAAAGGCTCTTGAACATTTATATTAATAATTTGAACGAGGAAGGGAAGGCAATACATGTTGTGGCATCTCCAGGTATGTGATTGTCTTCTTCTTTTTAAATGTGTCCTGAAATAGTAAGAATGCAACTCCGTTTCTTTTGGAAGAAAACTCTCTGGTGGATAATTGCAATCATATTTATTTTCATTTTAACAGTGTTATAGAAAGCACAGGAAAAAGGAAATCAGAAACTTGCAGAAAATAAAATACCCTATTGTTTGAATATTGCATTCTTCTATCAGAACTGAAGAAGCTTCAAGGATGAGAAGTGAAATGTTTTCAAGGAGGAAAAAAACCCAAAATTCCAGCTGCCTTTTGAAAAGCACTTTTAGGACAACTGTGACCTGGGTGACTGAAAGTCTCCATATACATTCTTCTGTCAAGTTTATTTTTAAAACCATCTATTTGTATACAATTCATGGAATCAGCAAATTGAATGATGATTATTCTCCCACCCAGAAGCCTTGTTCATTCAGGTTTTTTTTAAAAAAAAACCAACTTCCTTACCTTTAATATATAATAAGAAAATTCCTACCTTATTTGTGAGGTTTTGGTTGTAGTATCATGCTCTGAAAGTTTTCCATTTGTTGAAAGAATAAGCAGGTGAGATGCTTCACAATCAAATGAATTTATCTTCTCTTTCAAGTAGATCCTGCCTGCAAGACATAGCAAGAGAATGTCCACTGCGATTTTCACCAATGATTATCTTAATTGGTACTAAGCCACACTCTGAATTCTGCTGGACTGAAAGGCTGGAGTCACTGTGAAGTGGGAGTTACACGGGAGCAGAAGCAACCACATTACAATCTTTATTCCCTTATGGACTTCATTAGATTATGATGGGGCAATTCATGTTTCAGCCCAGTCTAACCCAGGGCTCTCCAACCTTAGCAACTTTAAGACTTGTGCACTTCAATTCCCAGAATTCCTCAGCCAGTTTTGCTGTGGATATTTACAGATCAAAAGAGCAGAAATGCCTTGAGGTCCTTGAGTAATAATTAAAACAATTAAATACTGGCCAGATGCCCTTTCTGATGCCACATGGAGTTTGCAACAGATATTTTTTTCTTTGCACCCCAGGCGAGAAACATCTGCCATGCCTAGGATTGAACTCTCAACCTTCCAAGTGGAAGGCGAACATTTTCACCACTAGGCCACCACATTGCTCCATTAAAATAGTCACAGTCACACCGAGGGGTAGAGACAAGACCCCACTTAAACAAGGAGTCCTGGCAGACACCGTGTTGGGTATGGATCCTGTTCAGAGTTGACCAATGTTGGCGAGGAAGGTCAAACTCTGGCACCTTTTGTGTAGGGTCATCTACGTAACTGCCTGTACCTGGGCGTTCAGAAGCCCATCTGGCTTTCCACTGTGTGTTGACGTCAAAGTTGTTAGACAGCTGTTGAGCGAAGGCCAGGGAAGACTTCCTGGATTTAAGCCTGCCAATCAGAGGTGGCATTCAGCAGGTTCTGACCAGTTCTGGAGAACCAAGGCAGAAATTTTGAATAGTTCGGAATACCACCTCTGACTGGCCCCACCCCAATCTATTCTCTGCCTCCCGAGTCCCAGCTGATTGGCTGGGTCTTCTTTTGTTGCCCTACACAGGAGAACGGAGCTGGAAAGCAGGTTAGTGAAGTGGGGAGGAAATAGGGATTTTGCAGTATCCTTCCCCACGCCCACCAAGCCACGCCCACCAGGCCAAGCCCACCAAGCCACACCCACAGAACCGGTAGTAAAAAAATAATGAATCCCACCACTGCTGCCTATTGGTAGATGAGGAAGATCAGCATGCACAGGAAGAGGTGGGTTCCCCAGAAGTGAGGTAAGCTGTTACTTTTTCAAAAAGGCCTAAAGACGTCAGTGGGCCTGGGGATGCCAGGCTGACAGAGAACTTACCAAGGGGCTTGTGTGATTGTACCTGTTGCTGCCATGGTGGAGGCAAGTTGTCTTGGGTTTTATGTTGTGGGTTTTTAATGCTAAACATCACCTGGAGTACAGTTAGTCCTGAACTTGCAACCACAATTGAACCCAAAATTTTCTGTTGCTATAAGCAAGACATTTTTTTTTAGTTTTGCCCCATTTTATGACCTTTTTTTGCCACAGTTGTTAAATGAATCACTGCAACTGTTAAGTTAGAACCATGGTTAAAGTGAATCCCCATTGACTTTGCTTGTCAGAAGGGGGTAAAAGCTGATCACATGACCCCCTTTATCACATGAGTCATAAATATGAGTCAGCTGCCAAGCTGTAACAACACCAGCAATAAAATGAAACACCAAGGCTTCCTGCGAAATACCAGTCACGCATCATCACAAAATCTCCAGAACTATAAAGCCTACAAACTTGAAATTTGCTACATATGTTCCTCTTGGCTTCTAGGTGCTCACTAAGAAAGGATTTTTCAAAATGACAATCAGAGCATTAGTATTTCCTATATTATTATTAACACACTCCGATGCTAAAGAGTTCTACTCCCTCTCCCCACCTCAAAAGGAATCTGTCCCAAATGCAAAACACAAGCAGAGGAATTTCAGTTTTAATTTCACAGCACCAAGCAGCTTTAGTACAGAACAGCTGATCTAAGCCACACCCAGGTTCCTTGCTGTCTCCTTCTTGCTCACACAGCAAATACTGTTTGAGTTTCCAAACAGCCCTCAATTCTCTCATACACTGACAGGACTCTAGCCAGATGAATATTGATGGATGCTGGTAGGCAGAGGCAGAATTCTGCCCCCCCCCCCCTTGTTTTCCTTCCCAAAAGCCCAACCACATTGTTTCGGAGCAAAGCACAGGTATCCAGCTAATATGCTAATAAACTTGCAATTTGTTTTAGTAGGACTTGTCCTTTTTAACAAAGTAGAAGAGTGCAAACAGGCTGGAATGGTTAGAAAAGGGGCTTCCAAGCTTGGTGACTTTTTAAGAGTTGTGGACTTCACCTCCCAGAATTCCACAAACCAGCCATGCCGGCTGAGGAATTCTGGGAGTTGAAGTCCACAAGTCTTAAAGTTGTCAACTTTGGAGATCCCTGGATTAAGTGTTGGACTAGGAGATTCCTGGGTTAACAGCATTGAAAGACCCAGGTTCAAATCTTCCCTCATTCACAAAGCTGACTGGGTTACTCTCGCTACCTCACTCACTGGTTGATCACCAGAGGGCACACCAAAGATATACAATACTCATACACAGTACACTAAAGAAAAGAAGAATTAGTGCTGAAGTGATAGCAGTATACTAGTGTTTGAGGGGCTGCCACAAAGCACCGGAAGGCAGGACTTTGATTCTAACAGAATAACAGAGTTGGAAGGGACCTTGGACCAACCCGCTTGCTCAGGCAGGAAACCCTATAACCACTTCAGACAAATGGCTGTCCAATCTCTTCTTGAGGATCCACAATTTCTGGAAGCAAGCCATTCCACTGATGAATTGGTCACACTGACAGGAAATTTCTCCTTAGTTCCAGATTGCTTCTCTCCTTCATCATTTTCCATCCATGGTTTCTTGTCCTGCCTTCAGGTGCTTTAAAGAACAGGTTGACCCCCCTCCCTTCTTTGTGGCAGCCCCTCAAAGATTGGAAGACAAGAAAAAAAATGGCCAGAAACTTATCAAAGAGAGAAGCAACCTGGAATTAAGGAGAAGCTTCCTAACAGGGAGGACAATTCACCAGTGGAACAGCTTGCCACCAGAAAGCGTGGGTGCTCCACCACTGGAGGCTTTTAAGAAGAGTCTACGCAGTCGTTTATCTAAATTGGGCAGGGGGCTGGACTAGATGACCTCCGAGGTCCCTTCCAGCTTATTCTATATTCTAACATAAAAGTTGTTTTTTTTGGGGGGGGGGGGGGGCTGCCATCTGGCGGCCGTCCGGATTTGGAGGCTTTTTGATTAAGGCTACTCACCGCGACTTTCCACCAGGGGCTGGTGCGGTTTGTCTTGCGCCCGGCCGAAAAGCTGCACTGTTTTCGGTGTCTGCGCCACGGCGAGGTAAGCTTGCTTGCAGCTGATCTGGCAAATGGCCCCAGGGCCCCCTTTGAAGATAGTGCGGTGGTCCCCCGCCGTTGGGAAAAAGAGCAACAGGGGCCCGAGTGGCGGGGAAGAGCCCGCGGGAGAAGCCAACCGACCGCTCTCTTGCGATCGCCGCTCGCGCGTCTTTTGGGGCACTTGCTCCTCAGGCCTCCGGGGGCGGCGCGCGGGTCGCGACACCGAGCCTGAGGGGGAGCTGGGGGCTCCGCCGCGGGGTTTCTTCCGTGCGCCCGGCATGAGTGGAGGGAGCCTCGCCTCTGATCGCCTCAGGAAAAACAAAAAACGGGCAACTTCTCCAGAACGACGCGCGTTTGGTCTTCTCCGGGCTCCTTTTGGGTGGCTGCGCTTTCCAAACGTCAAGAGAAGGCGGGCTTTGCGAGGAAAGCGAAACTGCGGCGCGGTCCGGGCAGGGAATTTGCCTTTTCGGTGAAAGGATGGAGGCGGTGGCCCGGAGAATAAGGGTGGTGGTTAAACCCCACGCACCCACCCACCCCGACACGAGGGTCGCTTCTTTTGGAAGCCTCTCCAAAGCAGCGGCGGCTTCATCGCGGAGATGTTGGTGCTTTGAACGCAGGACCCAGCCGCGGCTCCCTCAGCTTTCGGCCGCAGAGTTTCGTTTTCGTTTCATGATTGCGGGCACCAAAGGTGCTTTTTTTGTTTGTTTGTTTCAGGAGGCAACTGAACTGTCTTGTTTTTGTTTTTTCCTTTGGAAGACGTTTCGCTTCTCACTTAAGAAGCTTCTTCAGCTCGGCCAGGATAGTGGGGAATGGAAGGACTGATATTCTTTGCAGACAACTGGCCATTTGCAGTGGTGGGATTCAACTTTTTTTTACTACCAGTTCTATGGGCGTGGTGTGGCTTTGGTGGGCATGACAGGGAAAGGATACTGCAAAATCCCCATTCCCTCCCCACCCCACTAACCTGCTTTCCAGCTCCAATCTCCTGTGCAGGGCAACAAAAGAAGACCCAGCCGATCAGCTGGGTCTTGGGAGGCAGAGAATAGACGAGGCAGGGCCAGTCATAGGTGGGATTTGGGTCTGAACTACTCAAAATTTCCGCTACCGGTTCTCCAGAACTGGTCAGAACCTGCTCAATACCACCTCTGATTTGCATCCTTTTAGAGAGGGGTATCAAACTTGATTTCATTAAGGGAAACATCAGGGTTGTGTTTGACCTGGTGGGGGCAGGGTGGGGGAGCGTGGCCATCTCGAGGTCACTCACGGGGTGTGTGTGTGTGTGTGCACCTGTGATGTCCAAGGCAGGACTTCCCTCAGACCCCCCCTCACTCTCATTATAATCTTCCTTCCAACCCTTTAGTGCAGTAGAATAAGATAATAACCTACAACCTCAATTTTTTCCTTTTTACATAATAATATATACTATTATATTATTTCTATTAGCAACAAGCCTATCTATCTTATCAGCAAAAACCCTGAATCAAAGTTTCATTTTTCCCCCCACCTCAAGCACAAAGTGCAAATATAGTATCCACATAGAAACAGAATTAATGGTATTCTTTAATGAAAGCACTCAATGTGGTCATCTCTGCTAGCTCCGTCAACTTTTGCAGCAATTCATCCATTGTGGGAATCAAACGATCCTTCCATTTTTGTGTGTGGAGTAGTCGTGCTGCTGTTAGCATAGGTAACATCGAAGTTCCAACTTTTTTTGTAAGACTTCTTCCATCAGAACAGAGTGGAATCAGACAGGTGAGTGATGGGTTTCTGCATCCTCTCCCCAGGATCCCAAGGGCTTTTGCACCAAAGACTTTTTTTGTTTACTTGCCAATGTCATCCACAGAGTAATCATGTGTGTATTTCTAGATCTAAGTTTGGAACCCAAGTCTACAGTGATGGCTCTTTAGGTAACAGCGGCTGAAGCCACTGAGCAAAGGGGCCACAATTCTTTCCAACCTCCCACATAGATTGGCCTCAGCTATAGGGGATAACCTCTTTCTGAGTTCATCTCCTCCAGCATCCCCCAGAAAAGCAAAAACAGCTCTGCAAAAACAGTGGTTGCTGCCTGGTAAAAAAACATCAGCAACCCAGCCTCAGGAATGCCCACAACTTCACAAAATTCTATTGCCTCCATCAACATCAAACACTACAGTAAAAAAAAAAAGGCTTGTAGAAGAAGAATCTTTATCTTTTCCACTCTGTCCTTTCACAACCTACTTCTTGTCTACACATCTCTTCCAAGTCTGTGACTAAATCACATGTCATTCGTTTCCTTTCCTTTTCCATGCCATTCTATAATTTCTTCTCAAATTCTTCCGCCATCAATTGCGGAATGGTGTGGAATTGTGGAGGGCAGAGAGAATGGCTTGAGGAAGGAAGAGTGGCTATCAAAAGACAGTGGTCAGATAAAAGAAAGCTGAATTCAGGGCAGGAATGTAATCTCAGACAAGCCTAGTTTTCACAAAAGTAAAAGGAAGATAGGGGAAGCACATTCAGGCTTGCAAGATTGTGTTTCACTAGATTTGTATTAAAATAGTATTGACATACATGATATCAATAGCTGTAAGCACAAGCCAAGACACTGAATGGAAGGATGAGAAGGAAAGGTAACTCTGCAAAATATGTCACTTGGGTTTAATTCCCCCCTCCCCCCCCAATTTTAAAGAGATGTCTTCTGAAGTTGTAGAAATGGGATGATTTGCAAAGGCGGCCAGAATTCTTCAAGTAAAATGATGTGAATTGCATCATTGCATCATAACATGCATGATGGTAGCTGTTATTTTATATTTTTCTTTTTAAGAATCAGGAAATGTGGTAGTTTTGTCACCTGGAACAATTTGGGGCAACCCCATGTGAATGGCAGACCCGTAGTATTGGAGATTTGGATCTTAAGAAATGGGGTGTGATTGCAGAACTTGAAACAAAACTGGTGCAGATAAGTGGTTGTGTAGTATGCCTTCTCTCACACATCTGAAGGTGCAATAGCAGTAGCACTTAGACTTATATACCACTTCACAGTGCTTTACAGCCCTCTCTAAGCGGTTTACAGAGCCAGCATATTGCCCCCAACAATCTGGGTCCTCATTTTTACTGACTTTGGAAGGATGGAAGGCAGAGTCAAGCTTGAGTTGGTAAGAATTGAACTGCCGAACTGCTGACTTCCAGAAGTATCCTACACTATTGCATTCTAACCACTGTGCCACCATGGCTCATACCAGATTCCTAGTCTGATCTTGAAGGACTGACAGTCAGGCAAAGAAACCAGAAACAACACACAGAGCTGATCAGAATTACATGTTTATTGCTGCTCACCTAAAGACAGGTATCTCATCAGACAAATTTATTTATCTATTTATTTGTTTGTTTGTTTGTTTATTTGATTTATCAATCACTTACAAGATAATAGGTATAAGAATAAACATGAGTATGAATACAGGAAATAGGTACAAATAAATGGGGTTATAAATGCACTATCTACTATATAAACACTGAACTTTGGGGGATGATCTCTTCTCAGCTGCTTCCTTCCAACCAGCAACTCAAGACTAGCCAGTTTTTTCGCTCCTCCCCTCAACTCACTCCCAGATCCCACCATATTAACAGAAATTCAGCAACAATTTGTCCAACACCTTGTAATCTGAATGACAAGATGGACATTTTCAATCAAATTTTAACTTTTTACTTCAATATCCCATCAGTATTCAAGATGTCAGAAGGTAATTATCTGTAGTCAGGTTTGAATCAATTCTTGGCCACTGTGATAGATAGATACTGTAGATAGATGGATGGATAGATGTGTGTGTGTGTGTGTGTAACATATTACCTCAATCTAATTACATGGTAGACAAAACAGCATACTTTCAAAGTACTATATATTTAGACTGTCACTTTATTTCTAAATAAATAAAGCAAGAAAATCACTGAACAGTCATCTAACCAAAATCCCTTGCAACAATCTGTTCTCCCATCTGAGGTCAAAAGAAGGCTACAGCTTCCAAGGTGGCATCTTATTCAAGTTCTTGTTTCAGACTCTGTGCGCACATTTGCCAAAGCCACGATTGTGGCTGATCGCTTGAAAAAGCTTCTCTTTCAGTTTTTGTTTTGTTGAGTAAAATGGCAGCAAGAAAAGATGCTGGCAGATCCAGGCCTCAGGGATAAGATCCTCTGAGGGCAAGTGATGTGGACAGATTGTTATCTTCCAAAATTTCATTCCTGTCACAGAGATCCTGTTGCTTCCTGCCACAAACACTAGAAATAAGGGGAAATTATCAGTGAAACACAGAATATTAGGGGGAACATAGACCAATCTAAGAACACGGGATTCCCAGGGTAATATTGCCTCCGAAAGAATTTAGTAAAACATCTGTTGCCCTATTTGGATCCATTGTAGTGATCCAGCCCTATAGGTAGTCTTCAACTTACAACCACAATTGAGCCCAAAAATTTATGTTAAGTAAGGAATTTGTTAAGTGAGTTTTGCCCCAGTTTACAAGTTTCCTTGCCACATTTGATAAGTGAATCTCTGCAGTTTTTAAATTAGTGACACCGTTGTTAAGGAAATCTGGTTTCCCACGCCGACTGTGTTTGTCAGAAGGTCGTAAAAGGGGATCACATGACCCCAGGAAACTGCAACTGTCGTAAATATGAAGCAGTTGTCAAGCATCCAAATGTAAATTCTGTGATGATGCAACAATCATAAGTCTGAAAATTGGTCATGAGTCACTTTGTTCAATGTCATAACTTTGAACCATGACTAAACAAACTGTTGTA